ACCCCGCGCAGACTCCGCTAGGCGCCCGCGTGGAAAAAAAAAATTGTTTGACCCCCCCCTTTTTCCTCCTCTCCCACGCATCTCCTACCAACGCTATCCTAACCTGCCTTGCTCGAATATATATGAGCTGCTGTACGAGTATCATCCAGCCTGCCCGTCGATCATTTCGGAATATTCGGATAATCGACTGACTCGATTCACCCATATACCCCTGTTATCGATCCCAGATTAGGTTAGAATCGATTAGGATGGGTTACGATGAGTTAATAATGGGTTACGGTGGGTTAGGAATGGGTTACAAGGGATTACGATGGGTTACCAATAAGTTAGCATAGATTACAACAGGTTACCACGGGTTAGGATGAATTACCTGTCCGTTCGGGTATCGAAGGCTGTGACCCTGAGCATTTATAGAGAATGTTATTTGGAATCAAATGTTCCTTTACCGCTTTGTCCTGCGGTGTGTAGTTTCCGAGTAATCTGTTTTTCTATACCGATCGATCGTAACGCAGCGTTTATTCTCGGCTATAGCTTCGAATGTACGGGTAATGAGACGAAACGATTCCCACAACGGCTCGATTTCAGCGTAAGGACGTTGTCCTTCCCTCCGCCCTGAACACGACGATCGCATGCGTCTCACTTGTAGGATATTCGAACGACCCTGAAAGCAGAGGTTGCAGCGGCCGGGCCGAAGCACGGACGGATAGAGCTGGACGGAGCTGGATGAAGCAGGGGCAGGGGCAGGGGCAGAGGCCCGAGCAGGTCTCGAGCAGGGGTACCGCAGGAGACGACCCTCCCTCCTGGCATAGATCGATGCTGGGCTGCGCACGCAAGCTCGGAGGCACCCTGCCGGACGCAGGGTGGGAAGCAGGGAGCAGTCCTTCCCAAGGGACGCGCGGGAGGAAGTTAGTGCCGTTGATGCACCCGGTCGTCTGCCGACGCCACAAGTGGTCCCGTAGTCGCCGTTGGATCTCTCGGGATCACTCGGGATCGACACGGTCATCCGACAACGAGCCAGGGTTCCTTCGCAACAGGTATGTATTGAGTGTGCCGAGGTATATGGTACGAAGCACCGCGCGAGGATATCGCCTTCGACTGCCGTCCCGGTAAGAATCCGTTCGTTTGCTGACAACCGCTGGAAGCGCTCGTAGAATCCGGAGATCGAAGGAGGGACGCGGCTCGTCGCCATTTTCCTCGCGGCCAGGGCGATAGGTACCGGAGTGGACCCGATCCCGGATGAATGACGATCCAGGCGCGAAACCGTGCCGAAAATACCGTCTACGGGAAGGGAAAGGTTTTTCGTTTCCTCGGATAACTCGTCCCTGGGGCAGTCGAGAGGAAGGGAAGGTCGCGAACGCGGACGAACCGTCGAGCCCAAGGGAGAGATCGGTTCCCTCCCGATTTCGGTCTTCCGGCGGTCAAGGTAAAGACGCGACGTTACTCCAACGACCGCTTCTCTGTACGTTATAAGCAGGCTTCGTGTCGCGTCCACTTGCCAATTTCAGAAACGAACCACCTTCCGGCCTTTTCAGATGAACCCGGCCCCGGAGCACTCGTCCGGAGCGAGGCACCGGAAGGAATACCGCTCGAACGCTCGACTCCAGTTACACCGATTCCTTGCGTCATCGAATCGTTCCACTCGCAAACATGAGTTTCTTTAATTCGTTACATCAGTACGTGACGGACAGCGTGGCCAATTTGAATCTAAGTCCGAAGCGATTTACCTTCGGCCGCGAAGATACCGCAACGGTGGCGACGACGACGACGACGGGGTCGGCAGCGACTCCTGTCGTGCAACTCGCACCGCATGGATTCCCCAAGGTCGATCGAAGGCTGTTACTCTTCGAAGGAACCGGAGTTGTCCGTAACGCGACGCATCCGTTCGTTCGCAGGTCGTACCTTCTCCGGGAACGGCGACGTCCCTCTACGGGCGGCCACCCTCCACCCGTCGACGCCCGTCGGACCGCGCCATCGACGAGACCCCTGCTCCGCGCATCGACGATTCCAACTTCGCGACCAACGGTTCGGAACCGCAGCCGACGATGGCGCCGCTGGCACCGACGACGACGTCGACGTCGACGCCGGACTCCCGGCGCGGCGGCTCCTTTCGTCGGCCCGGCACCGCTGTCCCGACGAATCGACCGCTCCTCGACTTCTGCCGACGCCGACCCTCCTGGCCGGAAATCGACGCTCGCGCCACTTCGGGGTGAGGACTCTCCGTCGAGGTGCTCGCACCCGATTACCTCCGAAAGGGCTCGACGGGGGAGCCCCGGCTCCCGACGAAAGCGTCCCGGTTCCCCCTCGAGCGTCTCGGCGAGCGATGTCTCTTCCGCAGAGTGCAAGAGACGGACGGGTCCTTCTTCGAGAGCTTCACGGCCCTGTCCTGGAAGCAGGAGAACCGCAGGCTGATGGCGCTACGGGAGAGGAAGGGTCGAACCGGCAAGGAGGCGGCGACCTCGACCGAGAGGGCGGCCGCGGCCCCTAGACTCGGCAGGAAAGACGTAAGTCCTCCGGGGCGCGGCTCGACCAGCGGCCCCTCCTCCGAGTCCGGAGTTTTTCAGATGGAGCGGCTCTACGTCGAGGTCCTGTACACGATCGCGAACACGGTCGGTGCCAGCACCGGCCAGTACGCCCACTACAAGGAGGACCTCTACGAGTACGCGCGGGAGGCCTTCCGGGTGCCCCTCGACCGGCACCGGCGCTGCCTCGGCGCGGCCTCCGAGGAGAAGGTTGTTGACCGGAAATCCCGAGTTCCCTCGCCGTAACCGACTCTCTATCCCTCCTTTTCTTTCCAAGCCGCCGATTGTCGTGCTGAGCGTCGTCGTCGTCGAGGCGGAGGGATTGGAGGCGAAGGACGCCAACGGTGAGTCCGAACCCGAATCCGGTCGACGCGTGCTCACGGCCGAATCGGTTGCAGGCTACAGCGACCCCTACTGCATGCTGGGCATCCAGCCGGGGAACGCCGGCCTTCCGTCCAGCCCCCGGGTGGCTCCCCCGGGCCCCCGGGCCGCCCGCGCCCTCTCGGATGCCGGCGACCCCGAGGACTGCCACCCCGAGAAACTCAGGAAGCACCACAGGTAGCCCTCGCCGCCCTGACGCTCGCGCTCCGACGCTCCGACGCTCCGACGCTCATCGCGACCGTCGCCAGTTTCAGGCTCTCGTTCAAACGGAAGGAGCACGGCAGCAGGAGGGAGCATCGCGAATCGCTCGGCGGAGCCGTTCCGGCCAAGTTCATCAGGGCGACCTCGGTCAGGCCGCACACCCTCAACCCCCGCTGGGAGGAGAAGTTTCGCTTGTAAGCGCCTCGCGTCGAGCTCACCCTCCGACTGTCGTCGAATCTCTAACTCGCACCCTGCTCGATCCTTTCCAGCGACATCGATGACGTCGCCACGGACATCCTGCACCTGGACATATGGTAAGTGACCCCCCTCGTCCCGGTAGGTTCTTCACGCACGCCCGCTCCTCCAGGGACCACGACGACGAGTCCTCGGTCTTCGACGCCGTCAGCAAGCTCAACGAGGTCCGAGGAGTTAAGGGCCTTGGCCGCTTCTTTAAGCAGATCGCCCAGAGTGCCAGGTCGGGCAGTCAGGACGACTTCCTGGGCTGCGTTAACGTTCCCTTGCAGGTGAGCCTGCGAGAGCTCACGGTGGCCCTCCTCGAGCACTCCCCCGAGTACCTTCTCGCGACAGGACATCCCCAGCACGGGCCTGGACCGGTGGTACGAGCTCGAGGCCCGGACGCAGCGGAGCAACGTCCAGGGCCGCATCCGGTTGAAACTTTGGCTCTCCACGAGGGAGAACAGGGGCACTTCCGAAGAGGACGGTTGGGGCGAGCTGCGCCAGCAGGAGCGCCTCTACGCCGTCATCCTCGGCCACGAGGTCGCTCGGCAGGGGGTGAGTCCCGCAGGCGCGCCCGAGCTCGCGGCGACGCTGACGCCAGCCTCCCCGCCGCAGGAGAATTTCGACGGGGAGCTCCCGCAGACGGCGCTGACGATCCTGCACCAGCACGCGGTTCAAAGCGACGCGTCGGAGCTGCGACAGGCGATGGTGCGCTGGGTGGCGAGTTCGCGGCAGCCGGCAGTCGAACCGCGGGTCCTGCTGCGCCTTCTGCGGGTAAGCCGACGCTCCCTCCGCTCCCCTGCGCCTGCTTCCGCCGACGGCCGTCTGTCCCCAGGAGCTGGACGATAGCTGGCACCGAGACGAGCTGGACGGCGCACCGACGTCCGCTGGATCGGCGAGTTTGTCGCGCGACGAACAGGCCTGCCTGGCGGACTCGTTCAACGACTTCCTCGAGATCGCTCTGGGCAAGATCCGGCGACACCGCCTCCTGTTTCCGCCGAGCGATGGGCCGGCCATCGCCAGGCTCGACCACCTCCTCAGGTACCGGCCGCGACTCGGCCTCCGGGAGAGAGAGAGAGAGAGAGAGCTCTCTCGGGAGAGCGAGTCGGCAATGTCGTCATCTCGATTCGATTGCTACGGCAGGTGTCTCGGCCTGCTCTCCTCGATGGACGCCTTCCGCAAATGCTGCCCCTTCAACAGGGAAATCCGCGGGGAGATCGTCGCGGCGCTTCGCAAGGGAACGCACGAGTGGTGAGTACCGACAAAGGCCGCGAGGCCGCGAGGCTTCCGTTCCGTCCCGCTCGCGTGTGCTTCCCTCCAGGTACGAGGACACCAGACGCCGCGCCACCACCCGCGACCAGGAGCCCGACCAGGACGCCGATGCGGTCCTGCAGGAGCTGACCACTCTCGTCACCGCCCTCTTGGTCGACCTGCAGCTGGACCTCGAGTACTACGACGCCCTCTTCGAGAGGTGAGCCGGCAGGCAGGTGAGCCTGACGACCGTGGACTGATTGGCTTCCTCTTCTTCCAGCGCGCACCAGGTCCCGTACTTCTCCGTCGTCTATAAACAGTTGGACAAGCTGGTGAGTAGTGCCAGAAGGCAGCGATCGACGGAAAAGAGTGTAAAAGAGGCGTGCCGTTTATGGCGGACTTGCGATTCCCGAGATCTCTGTCCGCAGCTGGCGGAACACGTGGCGAGGCACCTGGAGAACCCGACGGAGGTACGCGGACCATTTCCCCCCCTCCCCCCGGCCCCGGACGGTTACCAGACCGTCGACCTTTCAGACGTACGAGGAGCTGGGGTCCAGGGTGACGGCGGCTTGCCTGCAGCTTCGGGTCCGCGGCCGCGGAGACGAGGAGTACGTGTTGCCGCCGCGCGCAGAAATAGGGACGCCCGTCTTCGAGCTGTACCTCGCCCTGCAGGAGCTGGTCGGGTGAGTCGACCGGAGACAGCCAGCCGAGTCGACCAGGGCGTGACGAGGGGGTCGGACGCGTTTCAGAGCGGGGGCCCACCTGCCGCCGTCCGACCGCAAGGGCCTGGCCCTCTGCGCCTATTACCGTTGGTTCGAGCCGGCCCTCGACAAGTGGCTGGACCTGGCCAAGCTCAAGGCCGTCCAGAGGATGGGGAGGGCCGTGGAGCTGGACGCGGTGTGCGCGGGCGAATTGATCGTCAAGCACTGCACCTCGGCCGTGGACGCCGTCGCCTGCTTCCAAGAGGTAACTGCCCGCGCGTCCGCCGCGCGTTCGTCGCGATTCACGTCACCCTCTGCTCACCCTCTGCAGGTCAAGGAGTTCTGGAAGAAGCTAGCGTGGCCCGACGTCCCGGGCTCTTACCCCTTCGTTCTCAAGGTCGTCGACGTAAGTACTCGCGCGGTCGTCACGCGGTCGGCGCTCGACCCGACCGGCGGTCGAGCCGAGCGTCGACCGCCTCCTCTCCACAGGCCGTTTGCTGCTCGGCGACGCGCTACGCGGAGCTGACGCACCAGCGACTGACGGACGCCGGCTACTACGACGAGCAGCCGCAGGCACCCTTCGGAACGATCGACGAGGTAATCGCCCAGGTAGATACGCTCGCTCGGCGAGCTCGCCCCTCCGCCGCCCCGCCGGGGCGGAGGGACGACGCGCGTCTGGACTCGCTCGTCTCCCGCTCCCAGATGTGCGTCGCGGTCAACGGACTCGAGTACGTGCGGAGGTGGCTCGTCTCCCTGGAGCGGGACCTCGGCCTGGCGGAGGTCCTGGAGGCCCTAGAGGCCCAGGCTCCTGCGGAGGCGACGCGGCCGCAGTGGAGGAGCGCGCTGCTGTCGCCCCTCGAGCAGGCCCCGGGTCAAATGCTACTCTTCGTCGACCGGATCGTCTCCCGAATCGGGTCCAAGGTGAGCCTCGGCCGCGACCGTCCGCCCGCCGCTCTAGGCCGCTCTCGGCCGCTCTCCTCCGCAGATGCGACCGGCTCTGCGGAAGGCCGCCTTCCATCTGGCCTGGTCGCCCGACAGCCTGCCGACCGCCGAGGCCATGACACCGCTGCTCGAATACCTGGATCTGCACCTGGCGGCGCTCAACGCCGCCCTGCTGCCCGCCAACTTCGACCGCGTGCTGCACACCGTCTGGGAGGTGGCGCTCGCCGAGCTGGCCGGCCAGGCGGACGCAGGCGTCGGGGTGAGTCCTTGCCGTTCCTTCCCCGTCCTCGACCCGTCTCACCCTCGTCCGCGCCCAGGACAAGCCGGCGGTCTTCTACGAGCGGCTCCACGAGGCCCTCCACTCGCTGGCGGACTCGTTCCACGCCGAGGGTCAGGGCCTGCCGCGGGAGGCACTGCGCTCCGAGGGCTTCCTCGACCTCGAGGAGCGGCTACGCTACCACCGGATGGAGACGCCGCTGCTGATCGATCGCTACCATCGGCAGCGTCTGCGGGACCAGGCCAACGCGACCTCGCAGGAGTTCGGCGTGCTCTCCGTCAGGGCGTATCTCAACCATGACTCGCTTTGCGTCGAGATCATGAGCGCCCGCGAGGTCATCCCCCTCGACCCGAACGGCTTCAGCGACCCCTTCGTCATCGTCGAGCTACTGCCCCGGCGGACGTTCGCCCGCTGCTCGGAGCAGCACACGAGCGTCAGGAAGCGCACCCTCAACCCGATGTTCGACGAGTACTTTGAGTTGTGAGTACGAGTCGAGGCGCGGCCGAGTCCGAGACCGAGACCGACGGATCGTCCTTTGCCGCAGCCCCGTCAGCGTCGAGCAGTGCCGCAGCCCCGACGCCATGATCCTCTTCACGGTCATGGACCACGACGTGTTGACGGCCAACGACTTCGCCGGCGAGGCCTTTCTGGGCCTGAGCAGTATTCCCGGGGTCGTCGACTCGAACGCCAGTATCGACAACTTCCACGGCCTCAAGCACCTGGAGCTATCGCTCATGCACCAGAGGAACCGATGTGAGTCACCTCCCGAACAATCCGCGGCCGGCCGAGGCTCCTCGCCTCGAGTCCTGACGAGTCTCGTGCTCTCTTGCTCGCAGACCACCCGATCCTGCGGATCCTGGAGACCAGAGTGGGCGACAAAACGGCTCTGGATTTCGTCAAGAAGCAGAAGCAACGACTCGCCCCCTCCACCTAGATCCGACTAGGTCCCGTTCGATCCTCCTCGTCTTCGTCCCGACCCGATCCCCCGGGGCCGTCCGCGCCGACTCTTTTTCCACCGTCGACCCGTGCGCGTCCCTACGATGTCTGTATCGCGTCGTGACAGGATAATAAATCGTTACGTACGCGGTCTCACCGGCTTCGGGCTCACTCGGGGCGCGACTCCCGGACCAGCGGCCCGTCCTCGTCCCGGAGCACCGGGTCGCCGTCCAGCTTGTCCAGCAGCGGCAGCCGGCGCGCCACCTCGGCCCTCCAAGCCTCCACCTGTGCGCGGACGACGGAATGAGTCGACGTATGGGAGGGGGGGCCGGTCGCGGGCGCTTACCTCGACGCCCTCGCAGATCGGGTTGCCGGCGAGCACCAGGTCGCGCAGGCGCGGCAGGTCCTGCAGACGGACCACCTCGGCCCACTCGCGTAGCTGGTTGTTGGACGCGTAGAAGACGCGCAGCTTCTGCATCGCCTGGATCCCCTTGAGCTTTTCCAGACAGTTGTACGAGATCCAGAGCTCCTCGAGCGTGTCGCCCAACGGCTCCAGGCCGGCCAGACTCTTGATGGAGTTGCGGCCCAGGGAGAGCACCTTGAGCCGGCCGAGGGCGGCCACGCCTGCGGACAGGGACCGTCTCGCGTGACTGCGCTCCCCGCGTAGCTCCACGGCCGCCGTTACGTACCGGCGATCTTCTCGATGCGGTTGGTCGAGAGCGAGAGCCTCTCGCAGCCGGCGAGGGTCGCGAGGGCGTTGTCCATCTTCTCGAGGGGGGGCCACTGGAAGCTCAGGTCGACCTCCGTCGCGGTGGCGGCGTCGCCGCCCGTCTCCTCCTCCCACCGACGGATGGCCTCCTTGCACGCGGTGGGCTTGCCGGCGGCCATGGTCCCTGTCGGTGGACGGCGCGCGCCCGACTGGCACGGGCCAGCACCCGCCGAGCGATCGATCCCTGGGGACGGGAAGGCCTAACGGGGGGCGCGATTCGGACGGGGACCCAGGGCCCCGTCGCCCCGACGGTCGAGGCGGACAGTCGTCCGCTTGGCCGTGAACGGGCGGGGACCATCCGCGGGCCGCTCCTGGACGCCGACTTCGTGGCGACGACGGCCGCCTCGGGTACGGGGCGGAAAAGAGCGGACGCTCGACCGATACGACGATCGCGGGAGGGGGGGAGAGGGAGAAGGCGCGAGTCGGTTTTATTGTACAAAGATTCCGTGTATATATTGTCACGTGCCGCGCGTCACTGGACGAACGGGCACGAGGAAACGACGATTCCAGCGGGTAACAAAGATAAAGACATCGAAGAGGGGCGCCGACGCGGTCGGCGACGAGGGGCGACGACATCGACTATTCTTAGGGTAGAAAAATACTCGGAGGCACTTGGTAGGGGGTCGTCTCGAGAGCGGGGGTGGGGGGCTCGGCCTAGAGGACGTGGAGGTTCTCGCAGTTCTTGAACTTGCTGTCCTCCTTGCCGAAGAGCCAGGTGAGCATCTGCCTGGCCTTCATGCTGACCCTGACGACGCCCCGGGACTTGTACCAGTGCGCGCCGCCCTCGGCGGCGGCCCCGCCCCCGGTCGCGACGCCCGCGCGGCCCTGCACCGCCTTCAGTCGGATCTGGTTCAGGATCCCCACCAGCAGGTCGTCCACGTTGTGGTTGATGCCCACGGAGATCTCGATGAACTTGGCGCGGTAGGTGCAGGCCATGCATTTGCCATCTGCAACAAAGCGGTCGTTCGGTCGCTCCTCCTCGAGCCGCATCCGCGCCCGCGCGGCCCGCGCGGAACCGACCTTGCGAGGACACGGCCCTCGAGCGCACCAGGTCCACCTTGTTGCCCACCAGGATGGCCGGCCTGCCCCGGAGGAGGTCCTGGTCGTGCAGCCGCGCCAGGTACTCCTCGGCCCGCTGGAAGGAGGTCTTGTCGATGACAGAGTACATGACGACGAAGGCGTCGGGGGGCGCGAGCTTCTCCAGCTCCGTCTGCCAACGAGAAAGGAACCTTGATCGACGTCCGTCCCCCGCCCGCCCAGCTCTACCCACCTTCGGGTTCGTCACGTTCAGGAAGCGCAGCTCGCTCTCCTCGCCGTTCAGCATGACGAAGACGGACTGCTCGCTCGGGACCTCTGAAACAGCGGGGGGTTTGAGGGCCGCCGACCGCGCGCCGCCGCGGCGGGCCGCATATAGCTCGGACCGGCGCGGAATTAGTCTCCGCTATTCCTGGCGATCGCGCTGCACTTTTTCCTCCGGCGGAGGACCCCTCGGTCGCCGGTCCGGTCGCCGGTCCGGTCGCCGGTCCGGTCGCCGGTCCGGTCTCTGGCCCGACCGCGGAGGGAAGGCGACTCACCGCGCTGCCGCTCGTAGGCGTTGATGCCCTCGCTGGTCATGAACTGGCTGACGAGGGCCGTCTTGCCGACGCCCCGCGTCCCCAGCATGGCCACGGTGTACGAGGCCACTTCCTTGGGGGGCGAGGCTGGGGTCTCCTCCTTCTCCGGGTCGGCGGGCGCCAGCGAGTTCGACCTCGACCTCCTTCGCCGGAAGGAGTCGCCTCGGTTGATCAGGCCTACAACGAGAGAGGAGGTGCGACCCGTTATCGGCCGCAGCGGGAGACAATGCGCGCCGCGACGCCGGAAACGCCGCCGCGATCCAAAGTTTGCGCCTCCGCGGCCCCGGCGGCAGGAAACGGCGCGGTGATTCCGCCGGTATATTTAGCCGAAAAGGCGGGCCGCAGCGGATCGCGCGTGCCCGCTCGGCGGCGTCCCCGTTCGCGTCCCGTTCGCGCCCCGTCGCGCGCGAAATCGTAAAGCGGCCCCACGAGGCCGCGGCTCCGAAAAGAGGCTAGCCGCTCGAGGGGAGACGCCCTATCGGCCGGAAAATCGGCGCCCTGCCGGCCGCCCGTCCCGTCTACCGTGAAACAACGGCGGCCCCGCCGCTCGTATAAATAGTTTAAATAGGCGCGGCAGTTCGCGCTCGGCCGGACTCAGGCGCCGCGACAAAGGGCGCCCCGACGTCGGCCTTTGTCGCCGCCGGCCGCGCGAGTAACAGGTGGCCGCCCCTCGGGTACCCACCCTTGCTCGTGAGACTGAAGCTGCGCAGGCGGTAGCTGTCCTCGTCCTCGACCTCGGCCCCAGCCCCGGCCCCGGACGCGGCCGCGGCCGCGGCCGCGGCGTCGTCCCAGGAGGGCTGTTGCGCGTCCGGCACGTCGAGGAAGGCGTTGCTCTTGCGCTGGTGCGGGTGGTGCATGCTCTGGCCCCGCCGGCTGCCGCGCCGCCTCAGCCCCGGGCTGGCGTCGGCGTCCGCGAGCCGCGGCTCGCTGCTGCAGTGCGCCGACCTGACGGAGCCCTCGTGGTGCCGGTGGTGCGGCTGCTGGTGCTGGGCCGCCGCTGGACGAGACGACGACGGTTGTAGCGGGCGTCCACGTGGCGCGCGTCGCGGTCGAGAGGCTTACCTTGGGCCGCGGCGCGCCGGCGGATGCTCTTGCTGCCGGCCGAGGCCCGCGCGCTCTGCGACCTGGTCGCCGGTTTCCGCCTTCGAGTCGGTGTCCCGGCGCTGTCCCCGGGCCCGGGCGGCGGCATGGCGCCCAGCATCTGCTCCATGCTCGAGAACCCCGGCGCGCAGATGGAAGCCGAGCGCGTCTTGCGCCGCAGTGCCGAGTCGGCCATTCCGGCTCCTCCCGCGACCCTGCCGCGACCTCAGTGCCCCTGGCCGCCGCGGAGCAGCGGCATGCCCGCGACGCGCCGGACGCGGCGGAGACCGAGAGCCCGACCACGTGACCCTTCCCTTCCCGCGGCTCGCGGCATACTGAGCCGTCCGAGCGGCGGACCGAGCGGCGGACCGAGCGGCGGACCGAGCGGCGGACCGAGCGGCGGACCGAGCGCCGGCCGCGGCTGCGCGCTCGCCGGCGCCGCGTGCTCAGGCCGAGTGCATCGAACGGCCGAGTCGCCGATCGAGGGGACTACGCCGCCCGCCCGCCGGAACTCGCCCCTCGACGTGGCCGGTTCCGGCTCCTCCCGGCTCCTCCCGGCTCCTCCCGACCCTCGCTCCACCTCGCGCGGCCCGCTATTCTCGGCTCGCGCTATTTCCGATCTCCGGGCGCCCGGCCCGCCGCGACCCGCTCGGTCCCTCGGTCGATGGCGTGCGATCGGCAATGGCGCGGTCGGCGGAACGCGAGTGCGGGTGTCGAGCCGAGGACGGGGCCGAGGACGGGGCCGAAGACGGGCCCAGGCCGGGACTGGCCGAGAGATGTGCGGCCGCGCTGCGGACGGCACGCGCCCTGGACGCGAGCCTCCAGGCGTCGAGGCGCGCCGAGGCCGAGCTGTGCCTGCGCCACGCCGGGGCGAGGGCGGCACGGGCGCGACTGCTGGCGCGCCTCCGGGCGGCTGACGAGCGCAACGCCAGCCTCTTGAGTGAGACCCGAGCCGCCCGGCCTCCCGCTCCGCCCTCCTTCCTTTTTCCTTCTGTCCAGACCTTTTCCGGCGGAACGTCACGGAGCTCGGCTTCGAGGAGTCGGCCGACCGCCTGCCCCGGGCCCTCCGGGAGGACATCCGGCGCTCCTGGCACCGCAAGTACGCGCGGCCGCCCGGCCCTCCCCGCCGCGGGAGCGCCGCGTGGCGGCTGCGTCGCATCGAACGCTTCCCCGTTTGCAGGTACGACGCTCTGCTCGAGCGCAACGAGCAGCTGAGGACGAGGCTCGCCGCGGAGGAGGCGGCGGTGCGGGAGAAGGAGACACAGGTTCGCTAGTCACCGCTTCGCCGACTCGGCATTCCGGCTTCCAGCTTCCGGCTTCCGGTTTTCAGGTGGAGGCCTTGCAGCGCGGACTGCTCGACGCTTCGGACGCCCTCGCCCGCGGCGCCTGCCCCGGACCGACCCCCGACAGTCGACGGTCGCTGCCACCCTCCGCGAGGTGAACGCATCCGCGCCCCCTGTTCGGAAGGATCGCGGTCGTCGGGACGCTGCCGCCGTCCGTCGCGATTTTCCTCAATAAACGAGCTTTCTCGGGTGTCCTGTTCCTACCTGGCTTCTCCGACCCCATCTATCGAAACGGACTCTCCACGTTTAAAGGCTGTGCATTTCAAATCATTCGTCACCCCATCGATACAACGACGTTCCTGGACAAGTTCCGCGTAAAAGTTGCATAAAGTTGCACTCAAAAGTTGGCCCTTCCGCGGCGCGACTCAGCGGTTGGCTCGGAGGAAGAGGAAGGGCCAAAAGACGATGTCGAAGAGGGTTCCGAAGAAGGAGAAGCCCGCGCGTCGCCGAGGCTTCGCTCGCCCGGGTCCCATCGCGCGGATGGCGCGCGGTCCGACCCGGAGGCTGTCCTGGCCGCCGCGGCCCGCCAAGGACGCCGACGCCGTCAAGGCGTCCCTCCTTCTGGACGCCGACCGGCCGACGGCGTACCTGTCGGGGAGGAGATCGCGACCGCTGGTCCGAGCGTCACCGTCGCGCGCGGATTCGGGCGAGCTCTCGTTCGGATCGTCCGGCACGCGGCGGGATCCCCGCGAGCGGGTCGACTCGAGCGGACCCTCGACGTCGGCTTCCCCACCGGAGGTTCTCCCCTCGTGTACCGCGTCGTGGCCGGTGGCTCGCGACCGGCAGCGCCTGGAGTTTCCGACCGTAGACGCGCAGACGCGCTCGCGCCGCGGAAATCTCGGTGCCTTCTCGCGGGGACCGCCCGGGAGCGACCGCCTCGGTCCGGCGACGGCGCCGCTCGAGCGGCCGCGTCGGCACGGGAGAGGGTCGGGGGTGGGATCGAGAGGCAGGGCGTCGGTCGGCGTCGGCGGTCCGACCCCTCGCTCGGGGGAACTCGAGCTGGCCGGAGGGGAACGCGCGGCGGCGGTCCTGGCGCGCGGAATCCTGCTCTTCCTCGGGCCCCGCAGTCCGGCCGAGGCTCCGGCGTCCCCGCGGCTCTCCGGCACCCGGGCCGACTTCCTCTCGACGCTCGACCGCCGGCTCGTCTCCGGCTGCCGCTCGACCGGCGGCGCCTCCCCGGCCGGCCCGGTCGCGGGAGCGCCCCTAAAGCGGAAAAAAGGATGCGTCAGGTAGGCGCGCGCTCGGTCCGGAGTACTCATACCGACCGGTCCCCGGGCGTCCCGCGGAGCCTCGGCTTGGCCAGGATGGTCCGGGGCTCTCGTCGCCTCCTCGGCCGAGTCTCGTGACGACGTCACCTGGCGCGGTCCTCGACGCGGTCCTCGACGCGATCCTCGACGCGATCGTTACGAGCACGCGCGACCCGTCCGACGGCCGCCCGGCGAGATGTCCTTGTCTCGCGAGCCGCTCCGCAGTGGCTCCGGTCCCTACCGGGTGAGCCGCTTCGCCGCGACGGCGACCACCCCGACCGGTCGCGCGGCGTTCTCGCCGTGCCCCTCCCCCGCTGCGAGTCGAACGGACCGATTGCGCAAGGTCTTCCGCGCCCGCCTATCGATCGGCGGCGACTCGCCCGCTGCTCGCGTTGCGCTCGACTTCGCGCGGGTCCACCGGGAAGACAGCCGCCCTGAAACCCGATCCAGTGACCCGCTCCTCCCCCGCGGAACGGCCGAGTCGCCGATGTTCCGTCCGTGCTCCGCTCTCAACGAACCAGACGACTTGGACTCTTGGAAGGGTTTCGCTTTATTTCGCATATTCCGACATGTGAAACGTTCGAACCGAAGCTCCTGGCCGGCAAGGTCCGATCTCCGCGCGGCGGAACCCGCGTCGAGTCCTCGCCCCGGAGCGGGGTACGCGGCGGCGAGGACATCCCCCGGCGAGTCACTGGATCGAGCACGTCCTCGCCGAGTCGGAGGTCCGCGGCGAGGCGGCGCCCTCGGTCGCGGCCGTGGCCCCGAGGGCGCAGGTCTTGGTCCTCATGATCATCAGGTCGGTCCGAATGCTTGGCCGACGTACGTTGGGCGCGACGACGCCGCAGGCGTCGCTCAGCCGGCGCTTTATACTCAGGGTGGCCTTGTGCTTCGGCTGCAACGGAAACCCACTCGGTAACTAGCCGCGGCGGCGGGGCGGCGGGGCGGCGGATGTCGCGCACCTGGGGCGGGGGCAGCATCGTCGGCGAGCCAAAGTTGAGCGGCACCTTCCGGTGGTGGTCGGGGGCCATCTCCAGGGGCAGGCCCGCCACGACGAATAGCCGGTAAAAGAGCTCGTCGACGTGGTGGTTCCTCTTGGCCGAGGCTTCGACGAAAACGCAGCAGTCGTCCTGGGTCGCGCAGTACCGCTGGGCCTCGTCCGGGGCGACGGCCCTGTGCGGCAGACCGAGCGGGCTCGAGTGCGGCCGACCACCCGCGACTCGGAGGCGGGAGGGTCCCGGGGCCCGGATCTCGGGGCCCAGGGCCCGGGACTCTCCCGCCCCGGCAACCTACTTGACGTCCCGATCGCACTTGTTGCCCACGAGGACCATGGGCACCCGGGGCCCGTGGTGGCCGCCCCTGCCGCGCGCCTTGCCGGCGCCCTGCGCCGCGCTCGTCTTGGTTTCCAGGATGGCCTCCCGCAGCCGGATGGCCTCCTCGAAGGACTCCCTGCTGTCCATGGCGAAGACGACCGCGAAGAGGTCGCCTGCGGACGCAGACGTCGGTCAATTCGCCGTCCGAGCCGCCAAGCCGCGCGACTCACCCGTCAGGAAGGAGAGGCGGCGCATGGCCGGGAAGGGGTGGTTCCCGCTCGTGTCCAACAGGTCCAGCTGGTAGATCTCCCCGCGGATGCGATAGAGCTTGCGGTGGAAGTCCTCGATCGTCGGCGTGTAGCTCTCCTCGAACTTGTTGGCGAGGAACCTGCGGACAAAAGCGGACCGGAGTCTCGTCGGGGGGGCACTCGCGGTCGCGGACTCTGGATCAGACTCACCGCGAGACGATGGCGGTCTTGCCGACGCGCGCGCTGCCCAGCACGACGAGGCGGTAGCAGTTGCGCGGCGGCGGCTTGCACGAGTCCTCCTGCGAGGACGTGGACGCCGGGCTGGGGCTAACGGAGACCTCGGTCCCCTCTAGCCCCTCGAACTCGGGGCCCGCGCGAGCGCCCCGTCTCTCGCGCCGGGCCCCCGTGCCCTCCTCCCCGCCGCCGCCCTCGGTCCCGCGCCGCGGCCGACACAGGCTCTGCGCGCACACCAGGAGTCGGCCGCACGCCTCCAGCTGGCCTCTCCTCCTCCTCCTCCTGCCCCGACCGCCGGTGCCTACCGCGGCGCTCACCTCGGGCTCGGCTGCGGGGCCTCCCGATGCCAGCCACGACGCCGGAGCCTCGGTCCGGGAGCGCCGTCAGCGGCGTCCAGCGGCGTCCGGCGGCGGAACGTCGACTGCGCGCGGCCGACCGACCGACCCATCGGCGAGGGGATGGATCGCACCCGAGGCGGCCGGCGCGTGCACTCGCGCGCACTCGCACGCACGAGCGGCGTCCCCGCTCCGACCCTTCCGCACCCGTCCGCACCCGTCCGCCCCGCTGACGCTCGACCCGAGGGGAACGCGCGTACGTCCACGTATCGTATTTATTGTAACGTTCAACTTACAACAATATACGTACAGCTTTGCGAGAACGTGTCCGCATAATTTCGTTTACGCTGCCTGTACGCGTGCGTTATCCTTGCCTCATCTGTGATCGAATTGTTGCGGCGAAGCTACGTCGATACGATGTCGTAACAACTTTTGCGTCAATTTATTCACCGAAAATCTCCGCTCCAGCGGTTCCAACGGTTCCAACCCGTTCTAACGCTAACGCTGTATCCTACCTCAACGGTTTACAATGGCAAAGAGAGAGGTCGCGAACCGGACATCTTTTACGCATCATCGGAAAACCGTATAGGATCCTCTTTGCGTCTCGCATCGCTGATACGAAAAATCTACTCGGTAAAGTACGATATACACGCGAGTAATACGGATATGCGACTTTGTTTACATTTATTGTCAAGTTTCCGACGGCCGACGAGATGTACCATCGTTAAGCACATTTCATCCCCGCGATATGTTATTGTCTCCTCGCTTGATATAGGTTGCGACTCCCTGTGCTTTTCGAGCGTCTCGAACGGGTTCGTATCCTTTCGTTCTCGCATCATATATTCTTGTCCGAATATATATTTCAAGATCCGAGTCAATATTTATTGCCAATTGTCGAATAAGAAGGAAACCGAATGCACGATCGAGCATCAAAATCAGCGATCCTATCGTCAATCTTTGTAGTCGCGCAGGGAGTGCAGTTCGCGTTGAGAAACGTATTGTCACAGTTCCGCTCGTTAACGTTATTGTCTTATTTTAACGGGCCCGTTATAGCCCGTTATAGCCCGTTATAGCCCGTCGGGGACCGAGAAACATTTTGCGCGTAAGGTACATCCCCAAGATTTAAGGATTCGTTCCGCACGCCTCCAAGGTCGGCGATTCCTCGCGATTCGTTGCTTTTGCGCTCGGAGAAATGCCAGCCCGAAAACGACCGTATCAAATTCAATATGTCGGCGTGCACGCCAACGAAACTAACTTCTCCAAGTAACCAAGAACAACGATTGATCGTAAAAATGAAATACTCCTCGGTCGAAACGATTAGTTTCGAGGGGCCACGGTCAACGGGATTCTGCCGATGCAACTCAACCGCTGCGAAAACGAGCAAGGCGTCTTCACATTAGCGAATCGCTCTCATCCGACGGAGGAGTCTTCCGGAAGATAACGTATATACCGACTAACCTAGGAAAATGCTCTTCGCCTAAGCGCGTACCGCTATTAGTATACTTTCAACGTGACAATGCTACCAGTTGCGCCAATCGATTTGTTCCTCGTTCCGTTTTACGTTCTTCTTCTTCTTCCCTTCCCTTCCCCTCCCTTCTTGGCGTGGCCTGACGTTGGCAGCCGAGCTCTTTCCGTCGCCTCCGGCCACTGCTCGCACGTCCCGCAAGCTTCGCGGAAGTCCGTAATAATTGACACGTCAAATCGAAGGATATATGGTACGACTAATTAGAAATCTTTCCATTTTCCGCGTGCGCGCAGCCTACGTATATCGCAGACCGTCGAAACAGGAACGATCGTACCCGCGACACGGATTTAATCTGGCCCGAACAACCAGATATCGGACTCGTCCTAGGTAAGGTCCTCGTCGTCGTCGTCGTCGTCGTCCGCAGGACCGCCGGTAGGACAGCAGAGTCCTTCGGAGCCATCGCTTCTGATGCAAAAGAGAAGAGTCTCGGCAGCGGTCACCTCGTGCGGGACGATTCCATGAAATTCCTTTAGGTCGGATGCTGGAAACCAGGCCTTCTCGTTATCGTCGATTACCAGGATCCCGAAGCACCTGGAACGATCGATGGTTATCCGACGTGCTACAATTTCCAATTTATAATAAGTTCAATAATCGTCGAACCGTTGCTTCAACGATTATTGTCTTTTGTCTGGCAAACACCTTGGACCGCAGACTTTTAAAGATTTCAAACAAGAGCAATACCGAAAGGAACGTCGAGTAAAAGGTATTTGCTGTCTAGAACATTAACCTGCATATGGCAACTGTCGGGATCCAAAGAACCGATGCCAAAATTAGGATCGCTATTAGGGCGAGAGCCCAAACTGGCCAATCATGTTTTTCCGTGATTCCCTTGCTGGCTACCCAAGCCGGATATCCACTCCCTTCGACTAGAATTTCGATGAAGGACGCCACGAGGATGCTCAACATCGCTAAAGGGCTTAAATATTTCCAACATATCAGCCAGTAGAGACCGGGGCGATTCCCTGTCATGAGTTCGATATCATCCGCAAACCTGAAAAAATAATAAAAGCCTGTTAATGCGTGAATGCGCTCAAGAAAAGAAAAAGAGAACAAAGTTACTAGGTGACTTACCTCTTCAGTCCGTAAACGTACGATACGCCAATGCACTCGAAGAAAGCGATTATCAGCAATGGAAAATTCCCACTAAAATTGTCGAATAGGAGAAATACATAACTTCCTGCTCCGTGAGCAAATGCCATCGATATTACACAGCACGCCAAACAAATGACCCCTGGAAAAGTGAACGGAATACTACATGCAACGGGTGGTTAAACCGGAATACTTGGCACATTCCAGTTCCAAGTACGTATGCCCTGCCAGCTCGGTCAATCGCGCTGTCATTGGAAAATTGGAAAGGGAAAGCTCACCGGTTAGTACTTCTTTCCGAAGATTAGGGAAAAGCTTCATGTCGACGATGCTGGTAACGACTCCCTCCAAGGTACCGAATTGAGAATCAATTCCTAGGGTGAAGAGCATGAGGAAGAACAAGACCGACCAAAACTGGGCCCCGGGAAATTGATTGATCGCCTCCGTGAAGATGATGAACGCCAGTCCCGTTCCTGAGGCCGACTGGATCATGACGAACGTTCCCTCAATTAACTATTAATCACAGCGACGTACCGTGTACCCACGATCGTTTTAAAATACTCACATTATCCAACTCTTTTTCTAGGTCGCACTGTGGCAGTTCTGGCATGATCAAATTGTCCAACGATCCATTCCCCGTAGTAATGTTTAACAGAGCTCCAGTCACTGGAATTTTCTCAGGATCCATGGTATGTCCAAAGATGCTTACGAGAGTGGCATTTCTCTCGGCAAGACATTGCTCGTACACCATCGTGGCCTTGAATCCTTTTCGACACAATTGGTTCTTAATCATGTTGGAAGCGTACAACTACGGACGACGACGATAATATTTCCCATTGAGAAGAGGATTTTCATTTACCTATTATTGAAAATACGACAATGCCTGCAAACATGGAGGTGAAGCAATTTGTCAAGCTAACCATTATCGCATCGCGGTAGCAATTGTTGTTGACGGGATTGTAAGACGAAAATGCTATCAAGCCACCAAACGCCAATCCTAGAGAAAAGAAAATTTGCGTGCCAGCCTCCAACCAGACCACCGGATCCGTCAGGGTCCACCACTGAAAGTGATCGTTTCGATTAGATACGGAACCCGAGCATTTGGCGACGATCTAAGAGACGGGTAACCGTAAGCAAAAATTACCTTCGGCGTAAAAAGATGCCTGAGTCCGTCGGACATGCCAGGTAGAGTAACACCGCGAAAAAAAAATATTATTAACACGATGTACGGAAATGTCGCTGTCACGTATACGACCTGAAAACAATACCATGACATTCGGACTCCGTTACCTTTGTTGTACGTAAGTTTTCACACACGATTAATTTCGTTACCTTGCCCGAGGAAGCGATTCCTTTTATCATGCACATGTAAACAAGGATCCAGGCGATTACGAGGGACAGTGCGATCTTCCAATTGAACACTTCCGGTGTATCGATATCCTTCGAGATCATCAAAGTAGTTCTGTACCAAAAGTATTGCGTAGGACTACTTTCCTAAAATCAGGTGGGTTCTTATTACGCGTAAATCGGTGTACCGCCGTGGCAATATATTACGCGGTATCGAGGATGTTTTAAACATGGAGGAAATTAAATGAAATTGACATCGTCTACAGGGGGGGTCGAAGAACTTATCGACGCCAACGAAGATTTGGCTTACCAGACATTCTGGTTCCGGAGTGTAAGATCCGTTTTGGAAGTACTTGTTGGGACATTCTGCCCAGGGCAACTGCGATTGGAAACTCTAGAAAATAAATCATTCGACGTTATATCTCTCGATCAACCGAGCAGCAAGCAATCTAATGAAATCGAAGCCTTCGAGAGGCGGAGACGATTCTTGATCGAAGGTGACTCACTTGAACGAAATAAAATAGACACCAGGCTATGATCGTATTATAATAGAGCGCCACGTTGAAAGACACGACGGCACTGCTCACTCCGATGCCTGCCAAATACGGAGAAACCTTAAGGAAATATCAGACGTTTCATTGTCAGCCCCGTTAGAGATCGTTTTGCAACAATTAATACACACTTTACCTGATTCCAGACGCCGATTGCTCCTTTCCGCAGCCGTTGGCCAATTGCCAGCTCTAAATAAAATATAGGAATTCCCTCGATCGCCAACATCACAAAATACGGTATCAGAAATGCTCCTAAGAAAGCGAAAAAATACATCAGCAACGAGCGATCGAGGATACATCGGGATTACTAGCGCGTCCCTAGCTCCTGCCGTCTCGTCGGACTCGGGGGATTGACTTCGGGCGAACGGCACGCGCGGATACAAAGGCCAGAAGTTTCACTTGGTGCGGGATGTCTGCAAGTAAATGCACGACCCGCCGTAAATAACGTGCCCGCTTTGTCTCCCGTGTCCCGACAATCCTAGCCGATTCCGTCTCGACGGCATTTACCATCTCGCGATCGCCGATCGAAGCGACTTACCCCCGCCATTCTTCTGCGCCAAGTACGGGAACCTCCAGACGTTGCCCAAGCCAACCGCGTACCCCACCGTGGCCAAGAGGAACGTCAGTTTGCTGTCCCAATTTTCCCGCTCGTCTTCTCCCGCTTCGGGTCGGAAGATCGCTTTTCCTTCGTTGCTGCCCAGTTTGCTGCCCAGTTTGCTACCCCCGCCTTCGTTTCCCGATTTCGTCTGCAAAAGGAGAGCAAGAGGAAGAGTGATTCGTCGATTCCGCTCGAGCGTTTAGGAGTCCTTGGGAGCGTACTTTGGCGTTAGGGCTTGAGTCGTCGAAGGCCGCGTTAGTGGCTCCGTAGCTGACGTTTCCGGCATTTTTTCGATTCTCCACCACCAGTCGACCCCGCATTTCCTTCATTTCCAATCTGTCCACGCTTTTCTGGGGTTTCAAGTCTCTGGAGCTCTGTCGACGAACCAAATGGGCGGTGTTCGCCATTTTTCGGCTCCCTCGGTGTACCGCAGATATCAGTCCGATGTGTCGCCCGCGTCTCCGGATTCCATCCTGCAAATTCATCGGGCTCGAACTAGCTTGGTAGCTTATCGGCAGATACGCTTTAGGAGAGCGACGCCTTTTCTATTCCTCTCGCTTGCCCGGCTCTTTTCAGAGTTACCTCGCTCCCTCGCGCGGTGCCACGCCGTTCGGAATGATACCGCTCTTTCACGGGAGAAACATCTTTGAAATCCCTAAGGGATGCAAACGCGCGGTATTCATAGGTGGGAAAGCCTCGGAAATGGCCACTTTCCTCTTTTCGTCGATGGGTCTCGGGAGGGCAGATCGTTTGCGCGCGAGTTCCTTCGCGACCAAGACCTCGTTCAAATACACGGAAAGAAAATATGTATGATTCGGAAAAGTAATCGGTCGCCACGCGGGCAAAGCCATGACGAACGACGGACGAAACTCCACTTCGAGATACTTTTGTCACGCACTTTCTTCCCCAAAAAGTTGAAAGCTAAGTTTCCGCGAATGTAGCCCACTGGAATCGGCGCCAGCATTACGTTTGATTATGTTTGATCACGTTTGATTACCCGACGATTACCGGTCATGAATGGTACGGTGATCCGGATCCCAAGGATCAAGGGGACGGAACCCCACCAAGGAGAGAAGGATAACGAGGAAAGGAGCGCTCGTGGAAGTCGAGCGATTTAGGAGGTTGAAGGAGCGAGAGCGAGAAATTAAGCGTAAAAGCGTGGACTGACCTGCAGAAGAAAACGAAGAGGAGAGCCGCGCTCGCGAGCTCGAGGATCCCTCGAGCTGCTAGGACCGAGTGGGAGGCTAACGTGTCTCCCTCCATTCGTTGTCAAATTTTCGAACGTCGGCGGAATCGATAGCGGCCGCCGACGCCGGCGCCCCGGGCCCTCGCCCTTCCCGTCCGACCGCCGAGCTACTCGACGCCGAAACACGTCGCGGCCTTTTTACTTTCCACTCACCTTTTTATTTCACCGCTACACTAAATTGTATCAATCGGTGCATAACGACGGAAGAAACGCTAAGGAATCTAGGCGCCGCGGCCGCGTCGTTCTTTTGAAAGAAACTGCGTCAAAGCTAGAATCCCTGGAACCCGATAAAACGAAGCCCTTATTTTAATGGTTGGCGAGTCGGGCACTACTGTCAACAACCGCTTCACCAAATACTCACGATCCTGCCGAGCACGTCTAAATTTATCTTCCATAAATCTCTCCGACAAAGTATCGACGGTCCTTTTATCGCTGCTATCGATAGATTTTAGGGCCATACAAATACCACGGTATCTAAGTCACTACTCGGAAAAACAACAGAAAAACGATAGATGGGTAAGATCGGTGCCCGTCAACCGGTCCATTCCTCGTCGGGACGTACTCGGACTCGAACACAAAAGGATACAAGTCCTGATAATACAAATAGCCGTCCAATGCCCATTCCATTAAAAGATCCAAACGGGGTAGATAGGGGGATCCACGGACCAAATACATTATTTCTGGAGTACTTAAAGGAATCTTAGTTCTGGCATTCTCCAACTGCGTTAACTTATTTCCCAATTCCTGCAAAAATAATGTATGACGTGTATCTAAAGCTAAAAAAAAATTCAATCTCTATCCCCAGTCAACGCAAAGATCGTAATTCTGACTTACCTGATTGGCAGTATTCATTCGAGTAACAATTTCTTGAAGCAGCACGATCTCGTTTTCGATCCCCATTCTGATTTGATATACCAATCGATCTCGCAAATTGCCGACTTGGCAGAGCTCCGCGTTGTCCACTTCCTGGCTGCAGGACAAATAACGATAAGCCTATACCCTCGTGGAATTCGTTTTATACGAGAAGTCGAAAAAGAGCGCTCGGGTCCTTACCTCCTAACCAAACGAAGTTGTTCCGATTGCGTCTCCAGGGCATTCAGAGGGATTTTTGCGCATTTCAGCAACTCTGTCCACTTGTCCTCCAACTTTTCCAGCTGCAGAAAATAGTTGACGAGGTATCCGATCAATCGATTCGCCATAACAATGATAGCGCATTCGGAGGTTACGCGTAACAAAGCTTGGTTATGTTTCCAAACGAGCGGATTCAAACGGTATCCTACTAGTAAGCCATTGCAAGTTCGATCGCGCATGCACTTCGGCTATCCTCGGTCTTCTTCGGCACTCGTCGACAAGCCGACGCCATGGCAATATTTTTTCAGGGGTCGGTTCTGTAACTTTGAAGGAAGAGAGCTCACTTTTCGCATTTTCACCTCAAGTGAGGAGGTCTATTTTGTAAATTTCACTGGGGTGAAATAGTAGTAGGTGAAAAAGTCGAATACTGCGAAAAATCCTCCCGAGGCTTACAGTGTTTCTGAGCCTTATCGAAGGCCGTACAGTGCCGTTATGTGTTGTTAAGTGCAGTAGAGTGCCAGAGAGTGCCGGAGAGTTGCCGCAGAGTGCCGGAGAGTGCCGGAGAGTGCCGGAGAGTGCCGGAGAGTGCCGGAGAGTGCCGGAGAGTGCCGGAGAGTGCCGGAGAGTGGCCGCAGAGGGCCGCAGAGGGCCGCAGAGTGCCGGAGAGTGCCGGAGAGTAGCCGCAGAGTGCCGGAGAGTGCCGCAGAGTGCCGGAGAGTGCCGGAGAGTGCCGCAGAGTGCCGCAGAGTGCCGCAGAGTGCCGCAGAGTGCCGCAGAGTGCCGCAGATCATATATATAACTCTAATACGTGACCACATACCGTGCATATGGATAAAGAATTGCGAAAAGCTGCAACTTGAAATGCGACTTAATACAAAGATGAAAAGTAACGTTACGGGAAATATTACCGTTAACGTATCGTTAAATTTTACAACAGCTACGAAGGTCATAATGACGTCAAATGAACTTGGATTCGTTAGAAATGCACGCGATCGTTGCTCGAGTCTTTCTCACTCTTCTTATATCGTTATTTCCGCTCGCGTATCGTCATTCGATACGAATTTTTGGTCGTGTAATCTTACTTGTAATATCTGAAATGTTTACCGTAACGAAGGTTACAAAATGGCGAATGTTGCTCCCCCTAAGCGTTTTCCCTAGATTCGAGTGAGAAAATCCACGCCTACTTCCGCGTGAAATTTCATGAACAAATGACGTGAAAATAATAAACTCACGTGTCATTTCGGGGATTTCGGGGATTTCGGGGACTTCGGGGAGAACGATCGAGGCGGTTATCATGCTTTACGCAATTTGCAGGCTAAATGTTATCGAGGCACGAGTATTTTCTCCGAACGTATTGCACTCGCGAGCGTTCATCTCGACGGCGACCCGACACCCCGCCCAAGGCAAGAGGCTACCGAGTCCACTTTCTCCGTGGCGTGGCGAGCCAAGTGGCCCGCTCCTGTCCGCTCCTGTCCGCTTCGGTCCGCTTCTGTCCGCTTCTGCCCGACGGGGTAGCCCGTTGGGGTTGCGCCGTGCGCGCGCACTCTCCGTCATCGGGGTGGGGGCCTCTCGCGGGGGGTCGTCCCCGCTCCGTCGCGGTCTGCCGCGGTCCGCCGCGTCGTTCCCGGAGCCGGTGCCCCGCAGAGATCGCGAGACGCCAGGAGAGATCGGTTACGAGAGGAGTCGGAGCGAGTCGTTCCTCGCAAGGATCGAGATCGGGTGCCGCGAGGAGGGGGAGGAAGGGGAGGCGCGAAGTCTCGTCTTCGAGGGAGCCGCGGCGGACATCGATCGCGTCGCCGCGCCACCGCGCGGCCCGAGTTTTGCAACCCTCGGTGGAAGCGGAAGCGGAAGCGGAAACGCCAGGAGAGAGGAGGGCATGGTTCCGCGGGCCTGAGCCTCCGAGAGGGATGCGGCGCGTCGAGATGGCGCAGCGGACCGGCGAGACGCTCGGCGCGGATCTGCTCAACCCCTTCGTCCACCGCCTCGAACTCGACACGACCTACGACAAGCTCAAGGTTAGCCGGCCGTGAATCGATTCGCGGTAACGGGACTCGCTCGCGGACCGCTTCCGCGATAACGGTTCCGCCGTCCTCTTCCGGAAACCGACCTCGATTCGGCCGGCCAAGGGGCCGAGAAAGCCCGACTCGCTTTCTCCTCGGCTCCGAAGCCTCGCGACGGCCGATCCGCTCGGTCAAGGACCGACGGATCTGGGTCACCGGACCGAGAGAAACGCCAACGGCCTTTCGCTTACAGACGGCGTTCCTGACGGTGGCCCTGCTGCCCTTCCGCCTGGCGGCCATCACGGCCCTGGTGATCATGGCCTGGCTCCTCGCCTGCCTGGGCCTGCACGGCCTCTCCGAGGAGGACCTCCGCCGGGCCCCGCTCACCGGGTGGCGCCGGTAAGTTGGCCCTCCTCTCGCTCTCTCGCTCGCTCGCACGTTGCTCGCCCGCTTCTCGCCCGCTTCTCGCACGCTTGTCGCACGCTTCTCGCACGCTTCTCGCGCGCCCTCCGGCTTCCGCTCGCTCCGGCGAGCGCGACCCTTCTGATGACTGGCGCGTTGTCCGACTGCGACAGAGACATGAGGGTGCTAGTCTGCTGGGTGATGCGGGCCTTGTTCATCTGCGGGGGATTCCACCAACTAAAGGTGAAGGGCCAGAGGGCGCCTACCGAGGAGGCGCCGATCCTCGCCCTGGCCCCGCATTCGAGCTTCTTCGACGCCCTGCCGGTCGTCTACCTCGGCGGGCCGAGCATCGTCGCCAAGGCGGAGACCGGGCACATCCCCTTCTTCGGAAGTAGGTGGCACTCTCGCTCCCGCGACGCGCTCGCGGATCCGGGGGCCGCATGGCTGTCGGGGTGGTGGACGGGATGGTGGACGGGACCCCCGCGACCGGCGCTAACCGGCGCTAACCGGCACTAACCGCGCCCACTAACGCGCCGTCTACTAACCGGAGGCGAGCTCACCCCCGGCTCATCCCCGTCTCACCCGTTGACCCCCGCAGCAAGATCGTGCCGTGGTTGTGCTTTCTGGGCCGACTGACCTACCAGGCGGGCGGAATGAGGATCGTGGTGCACGGCCGGCAGGCCTCGAGGGCCGAGGCCCCGATATTGGTCGTTGCCCCGCACTCCACCTTCATGGACGGCGGCATAGTCTACGTCACGGGGTTCCCCTCCATCATCGTCCGGCGGGAGTCGGGGCTGAACCCCTTCATCGGAAGTACGTTCGAAAACGCCTCGTAAACGCGTCTCCGCGAGCGCGGCGCGAGCGCGGCCCCGAGTCGGCGCGACGGAGGCTCCCCTCTCCGGGACTAATCCTTTCCCGTTCGGTCGCAGAGCTGATCAATTACACGCAGCCCGTCTACGTCTGGCGGGAGGACCCCAACTCGAGGCAGAACACGATCAAGGAGATCATCGAGCGGGCGACGTCCAAGGAGGACTGGCCGCAGGTAAGGAAGGCAGCCAACTCGCGGCCAACTCCCGGCCAACCCTCCGCCGATCCTTCGTTTTCTCGCAGGTCATGATATTTCCCGAGGGCACCTGCACGAATCGCTCGTGCCTCATCACGTTCAAGTCCGGCGCCTTCTACCCCGGGGTCCCGGTGCAGCCGGTGTGCATCAAGTACCCGAACAAGCTGGACACCGTCACGTGGACGTGGGAAGGTCCCGGAGCGTGAGTGACGCCTCGGACGCCTCGAACGGACGACGAAGGACCGAACCCTAACGCCTGCCCTCTCGTCGCAGGTTGAAGCTGCTGTGGCTGACGCTGACGCAGCTGAACAGCAGCTGCGAGATCGAGTTCCTGCCGGTGTACAAGCCGAGCGAGGAGGAGAAGACGGACCCGAAGCTCTACGCCAACAACGTGCGCCGTCTGATGGCCGAGTAAGTCGACTCTCGCCGAGGCTCCCTTAACTCCCTGACTGCCTGGCTCCCCTAACCGCGTCGGTGTCGCCTTCCTCCAGGGCTCTCGAGATCCCCGTGTCCGACTACACGTACGACGACTGCAGGATCATCGGGAAGGCCCACCGACTCAACCTGCCGAACGCGGCGAGCATCGTCGAAGCCCACAAGCTCAGATACAAACTCGGGTGAGTCGATCGAGTCGCGGACCCTCGGGGGACGTCCACCGACGCTTCCTTTCTTCTCCGCAGCCTCCTGAAAGCGAAGCCCGAGGAGGAGCTGCTGCAAGGGAAGAGAGGCAGGTTGCCGGAAGAGGTCGACCTGCATCGATTCGCGACGATCCTCAGGCTCGACGAGAAGGAAGCCTCGACGCAGCAGCTCTTCCGAATTCACGACAAGGTAATCGGTAATCGAGGTACCGCCTCCGCGGCTCGTCGAGCGGCCGCCTCACTCTTCTCCGCTCCTTTCAGCTCGGTCGAGGCAAGGTGGACCTCCAGGAGTACGTGTTCACGGTCCTGGTGATCGCTAACGCCGACACCGCCACGGACATGTTGCACACGGCATTCGAGGTATCGCGTAGTCCTTGAGAACGTGCCTTGCACTTGCGCGCCCGGTCGGGACGTCCCCCTTGATTCGCTTCCCCTACCTCTAGGTATGCGACTCGAGCGGAGCGAAGCGTCTGACGATGCCCGAGTTCAGGAAAGCCCTGAGGATGTGCCTGCAGCTGCAGCCCGAGGAGGCCGACAAGATCTTGAACCGCGCCGGGAGCAGGGAGGTCGACGGCGACACGGTGTCTCTCGGTGAGAATTGAATCGACGAGATTTCTCGGCGCGGACGTGACGCGCGGTTCCCTCTTGCAGAGGACGCGATCGCCGCGGTGACCTCGCACGCGGAGTTGGCGCACCTCTTCGCCGAGATGTCGGAAGCGAAGAGGAAGAAGACCATTTGAGAGTGCCTCCTGGACGAGTCGAGAGGCCTTCGGCGGGCCCGCGACTCCACGGCGAAGCCGCTCCTCGGGCAGCTTTGCACCAGCCCGGTCTAGCTCCTTCGTAGCGGCCGGACCCCCCTCGGCTCGATAGAGGAGAGGTAGAGGCGGGAAGAGGCCGCCTCTTCCGGTCGAGCCAAGCCTTTCCACGGTCGGGCGAGATGGACTCTTGCTTGTACGTACGTACGGACCCTTTGTAGTATTTCCTCCCGATTGCTCCATCTACCGATTTACGCGTTGCGTCATTCGACACGGAAATACGCTAAATGTCTCGAGTACTTTTCGGACGGTGCCCATACGAAGCACTCGGGCATTATCGACGGTATCGCGTCAGTGCCAAAATGAGTGTCCATTCCTAAAGCATCCTCGTGCAAGTACGTTATCGTCTCGAGCCTTGGCGACAACTAAATGAATCATGTACCTTAACCAAGTATCGGATCGAGCTAGAACGATTCTAGAGGCTAGACATAGGACGCGTTTAGTACTCAGGAGCAGTTTGAAGATAAATATAATATAAAATTTATTTATCACCAGGCAACGAAACACGTCGCAATGTATATATATTGCAGTTACGTGCGATCTAGTGCAATACGTATACATACACACGCGAACACGGTAGCACATCTCACGACACATACATCGCAATAGAATAAATTCTCTGTTGCGATATATATGCAGGTACGTGCATAAACGATCACGCATTGGTCATGTAACACGATAAACTTAGTCGAAATATGTATATACATGTGCGTACGTGGATCCGTAGACGTATTCGTGTACGACTGCGATACGCACTTATATATATATATGTATATACATACATATTATATATAGTTTAAATAAAATATTCTTACAAGGTACTCCTTCGACTAATTTCCTTTGAGGGACCCCTTTAGAGATTCATTTTTGCATTGCTTCGTGGATGTGTGCGCGTGTGTGCAGAGGACAAAGGACATGGCCCGATTGTTTCACCCTGATCCGTACACCAATCGATACACCCGTCGATACACCTCGACGCGTTCACCGTCATTACAGTCATCGATGGAAACTGCCGACGATAGCTGCCCGACATTTGCCGAGGGCGTCGGAGTGCACGTTTCCATGTTGGACCATTTCAAGACGTAATAGAAATAATTTATTTAACTACCTATTCACGGACAAATACAGTGTTAGTAAAGAAAAATAACGGCCTGTTCTTAACCGAATCGAAGATTCAACCTGAACCCAAATGTATATAAATGTTACGACTTAACCCTTAGAATCCTGTCGAGTCATTTATTTCATTTAAAAGTAAGCGAAACCACTAAGAAATTAATAACACGTTCCAAGGGTTAACGTTTGTCAGGAATTTCCTTTCTGTGTGCATTTATGCCAAAAGTGACCTAGAGACGAACCGTCGAGTGAAACGAGTTCTTCACGAGGATTCGTCATTGTACAGCATATTTCACCGTATATACGATTAAAAGGTGATAGAGTGCCAATTCCTCAAATGACAAATATACACGACACCCAACGTTTCGAAGAAATATACGTCGTTGGGCCGAGTTCTTTAACGAAAGCGAATAAAAATCGGATCGACCTTAATCAGACGGCTTCGAACCGAGAAACCCGTGGCTGTGGTGCGATGGCTGGAGCGAAACCCTCGTTAGATCTCGACGACTTACGGGCCATTCGTCGCGTAATTACAACGCAATTACGACTCCCACCTTGACGTCGAGTCAAAGAGAGTGAGATTCTTTTTACCTTGTCGAAAGTCGGGGGAGCGCGGACAATCCGGAACGCTACTTCTTCCGGAAAATGCTGGACACGCTGGGAGTCCCGGGTTTTTGCTGAAACATCTTGCTCATCCTCTGGCGCATATCCTCGACACCCTGACCCACGTTGGCGGTGGCCAAAGACAGCGAAAGCCCCGAATTCGTCGAGGTGGATCTGTCGAGAACGAGGTAATCGAAATCGGGTAATTTCGGTCTCCCGAAGAAGCTTACCTCTCCATCGCCTTCGGAAGGTCTTGCCTCGATTCGGCCTCTCGTAGCAAGGACCGAACCTTATCCCTTTGCTGAGGTAGAACTTGATTGACGAGCGTCTCGAGGTATCTCAGGCCGGGCAGCAGGGCACCGGTGACGCACTGGTTACTCAACGGACAGTAGACCAGAATCGAGTAGGCCTCCACCAGCGAGTTGGCCAGGTCGAGCTTGCGGCCCTGCTGAAGAGCGGAAGCGGCGATGCCGGTGAGCTGAGTCGCTATCACTGCAAAGTGACGGGAGTCAGGATCGCCTCTTTCCGTTCGTTCGGTCCGATTACGATTCCGATTCCGATTCCGGTTCCAGTTCCGGTTCCACTTTACCGTCTTCGAGGTAGTTGGGCGGGCAACTGGGGGCTATCGCTGCCAGCGTCGTTACCAGAGGCACCGCCAGAGCGGAGGGAACGCCCTGGGGCTCCCTGGCGATGGTCTCCAACGTGAGTCGCGCTTTATCCCTGGCCTCCCTTGCGGTACACTCGGTAACCAGGAGGCCTAACGTCGGAATCGCAGCGGCGCGGACGGAACTGGTCACGATCAATTAGTTAGTAGTACGTCTTACGCCTTACTTACTTGGAGCGTTCCGAGCGTTCGATCGCTGCGTCTAAAAAGCTTTCGATTCTTACACGTCGGAGTCGGTGGACAAGGTCACTATCGCCGGGACGACTCTCCCGGTGACTAACCTATCGGCAACCCGGGCTATGATACCCCCGAAAAGCGTGGCCGTAATGCACCTTACGGACGGTCTTTTGTGAACGACGCCTAAAAATCGATAGAATGGATCGATGAAAAAGCCGGTCGTGACACTCCGACGCGCCAAGGGTTTACTTACCGTCCCACAAAGCTTCCAGCACGGCTTCCTGCAGACGTTCTTGGGTGCACAATCTCGCTACTGCTATTTGCAAATTGAGAACGTTGACGCCGCTCAGTGAAAAACCCACGATGAATTGCTTGAGCGACTTGGAAAGCTCAATCAGATCGTAAGTCGACAAGACGATCAAGTAGGCTGGGACCAAGGTTAAATTTAGAACACCCCTGTCTTGAGAAAGACTCGTCAACTGATTCTCCAATTCGGTAACTTCGGAGTAAAACACCCCGTGTATCTGAAATCAACGGGAGAACGGAAATTCGAGCGTAAGTTTTCGAGTGGAAAATCGGCTCGAATGCTGCGGTACTTACTCCGGTCCGCGTAACGTTACGACCGAAGCCAAGGCACAGAGAACGGACGTACGTGAGAAGCTCCGCGAAAATACTCTCGTGACTTGCCTCTATGGATTTCACCATTTCGAGGATGTCGGGAACACTGAAAGGGGGGAAAAAAGGGGAGAAGTTTCACCCTCGCCGTTCGTCGTCGTTATTGTTACAAGAGACGTTTCCCCCGGCAACTTACTGCTTGTTTGCGAGCCACTCCTTTTCCGGCCAGGTGTCCTCGTCCCACGACGTTTCGAAGAACGCGTTCAAGAGCACGGCCACGTCCACGTCTCCTTCGTAGAATACTCTTGGATTAACCATGTCCGAACGGCATATCCCTTCGAAATCTTCGGCTATCGGATGAAAAATTAAAAATTAAAAATGAAGAAAGGGTTAATAGAAATTAGGTTGGAACGAAACTACTTTTCAGCTGCGCGTTTACGGGTACAATTGTTCTCGTACTTAGGTCAGTTGCGGTTCCTCCTCGAATCCGAGACTTGACGCGATCAACGTCGACCACGCAAACCACCGTGTGAGGCAAAACGTAATGCAGGACCCCGACAGAGGCCACGAGTCGCTCCTGGTCCATCTGGTCCTTCGTCGGTGAGTGGTGGTGCGTGGGCCTCAACTGATTCTTCAACTTTAAGGTGACCCTCGGCAGTAAATGGGACTGCAATCTCCTGAGGGACAGGGCCCACTGGGCCAGGACGGGCACCAGAACGGAGGAGGCGGTCTCCACGACTAGCGGAGAGGCGTCGTCGAGAGCGGTCAACGCGAGTTCCTCGCACTGAAAGCAACCCGAGTCAGTCGAGTTCCCCCTTGGGAGGGCGAGTCGCGCAGCGGCCGATGCGAATTACTTGGAAATATTTGTCCGGATCGTCCATCAGGGCGACCAAGAGGGCGAGGCTTCGGACGACCCTCGCCCGAACCTCGGGGTCCTTGTCGTCGAGCAACATCTGCTGCAGCATCGAGAGCACCAACGAGTTCCTGATCGCGCCGGAGGTGTAAGGAGCCAGAGCCGAGCAACACTCCGCCGCGAGCAGTCGCCTCTCGGGATACTTGTGTTGGCTCTGTTCCCAGCATAGCGTAAGAATCTCCTCGATCTCGGTCGGCGCGTCCTCCAGCTTCGCCATCGCGACCAGTCCTAAAAGAAGGCGCGTTCGGGGCATTAAAGCACTGGAATTAACGAAATTAACGAAATCCCGTCGGCAGTACTGACCGGCCACTATGGTCCTCCGTTCCTCCTCCTGTGGTCGTTTCTTCAGGTTAAACAACAGCTGCAGCAGCTTCTCTCTTGTAGCGGAATCGGAATGTAATCTCACGCCGCTCAGTATCAGAGGGATGAGCTCTTCGCGTTTATTCAGAATGACGTTAGGCGCTACGCGAGGTAACGAGTGCGCCAGGATCTCGACCAGGGTGTCTCTCGTAACGCCATCCTTCAATGGCTCCTCGACCATCGAGGTGGCCGGACTTGAAGCGCTCGTCGAACACTGCGACATCACTTCCTTCCTGAATCTCGTCGGGAGGCGTCTACCGAGAAGAGAAATGATATACCGTTACAGGTACTGTCTCGCTACAGCTTTCGGTAGGGTGGTGCAGGTTAAACTCGGGACATCGTACCTAGTCGGTGAACTTGTCGAGGTCGATGATCCTTCCATCCCGTCTACTCTTGAGAGCTGAATCTTAGTCCAGTCTCTATCTCCAGGATCGGTTTCCCCGAGACTCACTGCTACCGAAGAGCTGTCGGCCTCCCCGGGCTGTCGAGTTGTAACGGAAGTATCTTGACTCGGAGAGTCTAAGATCTCAAATTTCTCTGGCGTCGTGGCCATGGAATTCATATTTTGTGTTCCTGCGTTATCCTACGATAGAATTGTGATTTTATTATGACCTCCAACCAACCAAATATTACCGTTCAAGTCCACCCGATATTCGGTAATCAAGATTTATCAAACTTCTCCACAGTCCGGAATTATTTAATCACAGTGATATACCTCGATCGGAATTTGTTGCTGAAGCAGACACTTGTCCTGCTCTAACGAGATTGCCTGACTTTTTAGTTTCTCCATTTCAGCGAGCTGTAAAATAATTACTCTAAACTTTGACTCTTTTGTTTGCACAAGGTGCACGAATGGAATTCTTCGAGGCGTACCATTATGTTCATTTCTTGTTCCTTATCTTCGAGTTTTGTGTCAATAAAGTCGGTTTGCACGGCTATGCTTATAGACGGCGGCTTGTCGTACCCTGTCGCTCTTAGAAATTCTCTGTATATGTGTAACAAGTCCGGTGGCTTTGGAATATTTAATCCAACGTCATTCCAATCTTCAAAGTCTTGATTTTCGTTCTCATCGCTGAATGTGATTGATGTTAATTTGTATGAGCGAGCTAATAAATACTCGTTGACAAGGAAATTTAATGCACGTCGTTCATGAGGCTTAATAGGATGATCTTCGAGGGTTAGTTTTTCGGTACTTTGATCTGGAGCGGTATTTTCAGATTCTGGGGATAAAAAAAAAAGAGATATATAAAGTGACCCACTAAGTGGATATGGTTAAAAAAAAAAGTAGTTAATATTTTAAGCACTGAACCAAAAGCAGTAAGATACCTGTGACAACGGTAAGGTTTGCACGAAGAGCAGAAATATTTTCTCTGGCTTTCCTTAACTCAAATTCAAGTATAGCCACCCTTTCGTCAACACCGCCATCTTCAGAAAACCTTGTCATATCGAGAGAGTCCAAAGTCGCTTGACTAGAAGATCTGGCTAATAAACATAATTTATCATCGGTACATTCATTAATGATGTACAAATACAAATAATATACAAAACAAACCTAACTACTTAAAAGAATACAGATATACTCAAAGCCATCTAATTTTAATAATAAATTAAAACACGCATATAAGTGGAAATATATGTACATCATTTAAATAGTTTAAATTCCTTAACTTTTTGAAAATGCCCATACCCATTGACAAATATGGCTCCAGCTTGACATTGTGAGTCTCGAAATTGGCGACATTGGAGAAGAATTCTCTCAACACTGGAAGTTCCTGGCCTGCTTCGCACAATTCGGCATGTAACTCCAAGGCGGTCAGCAGAAACTTCTCGTTCAGTAACTTATTAGCAATATCTTCATAAGAAACAGCAATCCGTGAAGCATCATTTCCTGTAACATATTTGAATTTGAAATAAGATGTCTGCAACCAAATTAACTGGAAGGGTTTATCTTTCCAATACATGAGACGACGTTACGTATGCAGCTTACAAGCACACCTCATTTATGTATGTCTACATATTGGTACAGAGATTATTGTATATTTCCATTCTCACCATCCGTAATTACAACAATGATACTTGAAAATATATTACCAGCAGCTTCGACGACGTTAATCGACAACGGGTCCCTAACCTCTCCCACGGTACTGGCCATTCTGCTTATTTGGCTCGACTGCGTACGGAAAATGTCATGGCTAAGTAGAACGTATCAAATGTCTCTCTCGCGTTAAGGATAACGTATTTCGCATTCAATCGCGTCCAATGGACTACAGCCCAGAGAAAAATACATACGGTGACGGTCGCATCAACACGAGATTGGAACCATTGGAACTCCTTGACAAAGATGAGTTGCAATGAGTTGGGAGATTGTTCACGGGCATGTCGCGCGGTTGCGTCCTGTGCTGCCCTCGGTGGCGAACACGGCCGGCTCGTGCACAAGTACATGTGTACATACATCATGCATGCATAGAGATGCATACGTGTTCATTCAGAGTTGAGTTGGGAGATTGCTCACGGGCAGTTTGTTGTATTGTTTCCAACAATAGTTGGAAAACACCGATCCTCCAGACTAACTACGTGGAGGTTGCTGCGCACCGAAACCCTTTACAAACGTAATATATTAAGTTAAATATATTAGGAAAGAGAATGGGAGGGAGGGAGGATGTCTCCCATAAGGCCCAGTTTCACAACTCGAGTTAACCCGAGTTTGATTGTTTTACGGTAAGGTTAAACCGAAGGTAAACAAGTTAAATTTCAGTTAACTCGAAGGTGAAACCGGACCTTAACAGTGTTCAAATATACATACAGGTGTGTGTATGTATGTGCAGCCACGGTAGAAGCACGTAATCCGATGTTAACCGATGTTAAATGAAAGCTGACGTGCGAAACCAGAGGGCAGCACAGAACGCGATCGCGCGTTCATCTCTAGCTCCAGAGATGAGCAGCTCATCTCTGCTAGTTCTTACGTCCATAGTTCGACAAGTTCGCGCAAGTTCGTGTTTGTCCTTATCACTTCTTATGGTATATGTCGGTACTCCGATTTAAAGCATTTAAAGGTCTAAATAATGAGAACATTAATCCACCGTTTGCTGGTCCGATGAAACGATACCGCTAACATAGGTGCGGCTTCCATAGTTGATACAGGGACGAATATTAATCGGACCAATTTACCGTTTCAATGTTTAATCGGCCCCGATAAACCAATATGAAGTAGCGTTCCGTGTGACGTACCGAATTTTCTGAGGTAAAAATGTCTTTCCTGCGAGGTTCCGCAAACTATGTTTGGTGCACAACTAGCGTCCTTGGAAAAGGTGCGACAGGTGCCGTATTCCAGGGAGTAAACAAGAACAATGGCGAGCCAGTTGCCGTAAAAACTTTCAACCAACTGAGCCATATGCGTCCCCACGATGTACAAATCCGTGAATTTGAAGTTTTAAAGAAAGTCAAACATGAGAATATAGTCAAGCTGCTGGCAATAGAGGAGGAGCAAGACGGTTGTGGAAAAGTAATCGTAATGGAACTCTGTACCGGAGGCAGCCTCTTCAATATACTCGACGATCCAGAAAATACGTACGGCTTGGCAGAAGGAGAGTTCCTCCTTGTTTTGGAGCACCTATCGGCTGGAATGAAGCATCTGCGAGATAACAATCTGGTACATCGCGATTTAAAACCTGGTAACATAATGAAATTCATCGCGGATGATGGCAGTACCATTTACAAACTGACAGATTTTGGCGCAGCGCGCGAACTCGAAGAAGATCAACAGTTCGTTTCGTTGTACGGGACCGAGGAATACCTACATCCGGATATGTACGAACGGGCGGTCTTACGCAAAGCAGTTGGTAAAACTTTCGGAGCGACCGTCGATCTATGGTCGATAGGTGTAACGCTTTATCACGTGGCCACAGGAAATTTACCATTTAGGCCTTTCGGAGGACGTAGGAACAAAGAAACGATGTTTTACATAACCACGAAGAAAGCGTCAGGAGTCATATCGGGCACTCAGACGTCGGAGAACGGTCCGATCGAGTGGAGCCGAGAATTACCGCAAAACTGTCTACTGAGCGTAGGTCTGAAGAAGATCGTCACTCCGCTCCTCGCCGGGTTACTGGAAGTCGATCCCAAGAGAATCTGGAGCTTCGATCGTTTCTTTACGGAAGTAACGGACACGCTTTGTAGAACACCGGTGCACGTATTTAACGTACATCGAGCGAGTTCCATCAAGGTCTTCCTACATCCGGAGGAGAAGTTTGTCGCGTTACAGGCACACATTCAAGATCAAACGGAGATAATCGCACCCGCTCAGATTTTGCTGCTGGGGAACACCCCGCTGACCGACATCGTGGAGGAATCGACCCCCGGCAAAGGATATCCGGATACCACGGAAGAGAAGCCGCTGATGCTTTTCTCGCGCGAGAACAACAACGTCGTCCTACCGATCGAATCCGACTTGCCGAAATTTCCGGTATTCGCAAATCTCGTTTCCGTAGAAAACGATCCTGGCCAAGCAAAGGCGGCGTGCTCCGCCGGCCACGTGTGCAAGCGAAAGATCGACAAGCTGTCGCGGTCCAGCAAGTTGTCCCAGGAGGCGGTCAAGGCATTCGCGGGCCTAGGGTGCGCCGAGCTCTCCAGGGTGCTGGAGAAGTGCCAGCGCTTGCGGGACCTGACCAAGGCGACAGAGGCCAACGCCCTGGCCGTCGAGAGGAGCGAGAACTTTGCCCGGCAGATCCTCAGGAGGGTCGAGAGTCCGGTGAGCCTGGAGCCGAGGAGTTGGAAGAAGGACCTGGAGTCCAGGAGCAAGGAGCTGTCGACGGGGCTGGCGCCCGCCGTCGCCCAGCTGCATCAAAGGTACCGAAGGCTCGCGCCGCCCCCGGAGGGCCCGACTTGACTCGGTCGCTCTCGCACAGGTACGTCAAGGAGGGGAACCTTCGCGGCGAGTGGCTGGCCAGCACTCGGGGCCTCCCGTGTCCCCACGCCGCCAAGGCGAGTCAGAGGGCCGCCACCCTGGTCGACCGGCTGAGGGACGGCTGGCAACATCTGCTGCGGGACCGGGCCACTCGCAGCTTGACCTACAACGACGAGCAGTTTCACGTTCTGGAGCGCATCAAGGTACACGCCCCCTCGCTCCTTCCTGGCCCTCGCCCTTCTACGATTCTTCTTCGACGATTACCCCCTAGGTCACCGAGACGGGGCGCCGGATCAAAGCCCTCCTCGAGACCGAGTGCGCGCCGGCGATGATGCAGCGGGCGGACTACCTGGCCGACTGGTACAAAATGGCGCAGACCGTGTATTTGCAGACCCAAATTTTGGACAAGGACGTGGACAACTACGAGCACGCCCTAGAGGCGTACTCGTACCGTCTCTTCCAGGAGAGCAGAGAGCGCCACGAAGTTCTCGCGAGGTCTCTCGACGGTCTTCCCGGCAGATTCAAGACGTCCAAGAAGTCGGATCTACCTGGCGAGGAGAGCGCAAAGGTCTGGAGAAGCATTTGCGACGTCAAAGAGCAGATATCTTTCGTTTTGTACGAAAACGATCAATTATTGGACCAGCTTCATCGGCTCGCCGCGCTCGGTGCCCTGGAAGAGATGAACACGGAGGACTCCGAGTACGAGTTGTGACGGGAGTACGAAGACCGATCGCTAGGACTCTTGCTCCCCGGACATAACTGTGCGCCAAGATTGAGCGCGGTCACTTCAGGGTTTCCGTCACTCGACCGTGTCGGATACATTGTACATACAACCAAAACGTATATAACGGATAGCTCGACGTATCGACGTGCATGGCTGTCTGCACTTTTTTTTTTTTTTTAACCAAGTAACCTTTCGACTGACATACATTTGTAGTTGAAATTATGCGAAAACGTTATTCCAACGACAGGGCCTAACTTTGAGCAAACCATAAAACACCGACCGATGTACACGGCAGAATTAAATATGCGTAAATATAAATCCGTTTCTGAAAACATGGCCTATACTTTTAATTTCCGATAAATATCGCGTATACACAGTGCAGACATACCATCGAGTAATCGGCGGAAGCTAGCATCCTTTGCTGGGGGACGTCCGGGTCAGACGTCCAGGTGACTCGCTTCCCGATCGATCAGAGACGTTAGCCTCTGCTTATGTTTCTGCTCCTTGTGCTTCTCCTGAACGGCATTGAAGTGTTGCAGAAGCTTTTCAAAGTCCACGTTGCAGTGCTTCGGAGAGACGGGTGAATCGGTTTTCGTCGTAGCGGAGGCGCTCGCGGTAGGTGGAGGTATCGCGGCCAGGCGTCGGTGCAATGTCCCGAATGCTTCGCTCTGAGGGAGGATCATCAAGACACCGTAAAGAGCGCGCACGAGGGCCTCGTTCCGTTCTCTTTCCAGGAGTTCCAACCTTAAGTCTTTGAAGATTCGAACTTTTAATCGGCCCGCCTAGGGAGGCTGTCTTTACGACGTGTTGCATGCCCGAGCGGCTGTTACTTACATGTGAATATCGGCGATTCGATGAGTTGGACCAACTTGTCGATCTCTATGAGGAATTCTACGCTTACCTCCATATTTCCACTGGTCGATTCTAGATTAAGGAATCTTCTAGGTCTCGACGCGTGATTACAAGACCGACGCGACACGGCCGCCGAGTCGGGTGGCAATCGAAAGGATACAAGGACTTTACGAGGTCGCAAGCGTGTGCATAGTTCTGAGTCAAAAAACACAGAGCTACGGTCGCCACGGGATTGTGACTCCACGATAAGTAAAGTGACACGAACAATTCGCAGCTTTCCTGAAAAAAAAAAAAAAAAAAGAGAAACGTTGCTTTAGGAAAATCAATTGCCTTGCCTTACCATACCGGTCGGTCTTGTAGTTGCATTGGGTCTTTACCTCGGAATCCAGATCCTTTAACTTGTTTCGCAGATCGAACAGTTCCGAACTTGTAAGTAAGATAACGTTCAGTGTCTGCACCATTATGCAAGCGAACCTCAAATTTTGTTCCTCGAGCAAAATTTCAGCTAATATTTTGTAAATGTCTTCGGCGCTTAGAAGTACGCACAGTTCTCGTATAATAAATGCACCTCTTTCTTCCAACAGATGTCTATCGGTGGAAAACAGCCTTAATAAATTAACGATGAACTTTGTGTAGTACTTATTCTTCCGTGCTGTACTCGTTTCTTCCACCGTGGTCTCCGAAGACTTGGAATTAATGATTTCAGCCATGACAACAAGATTCTGTTGGACCACGTCATCGGAGCTGTCGCTCAGAGTACGCATCAGGACTGGAAACAGGTCGTCTATGTGGTGGAACATTTTGTAAGGAATGCTTGTGAATAAATGGTGAATCCACTTTAAAACGGCTACTTTGGTCTGCACAGACGTGTGCATTAAATGCTTCGTAAGGACTTCTACTACACTCGGCAGATCCAACTTTTCCGCCAGTGGACACTTTGACTGTACTGCTGAAATATTATTATTTTTAATACACAACCTGTTTGCCTCTTGGTTAGTCTACGATTAACATCAAACATTAGACACTTCTTTGTACCTTTTTGTCCATTACTATCAACATTTTCTACAACTGACGTTTGAACTTTATCGGACATCTCGGAGCTTTCCATGGTAATGAGCTTCATTAGACTACCATTTACTTGAGTAGCCGTCTCTTTGATATTTTTTCTACTGTCGCTATCGTAAGCTAGACAAGGTAACACTGCGGTAAAGATTCCGGAAGTATAAGGTAACATGAGTGGTCCGGAAAGATGAACAAATTCCTTGATCCATGTTATCGCCGTAAGTTGCAACAGTTCGTCGGTATTTTGGGCATGTGTAATGAGAATATTTATCATCCCAGGGAAATCTACCCTTGTGGGATTGGATTTAATGTTGCGTAAAAACTCGCCCAACACGGTATCCGTAACCTTCTTTATCTCCGGAGTTGGATCTTCCAGGATTCTAAAGAGACCATCTAAAATCTCGGGTAAAAATGTAATAAAATCCATATCTGGCACGGAACCCAATACGGACACCCATGCTATCACAAACTGTCTCCCAAATTGATTCTTTGTATAAATACGTTCCCGAAGGAGTGGCATAAATCCAACTAAATCAAACATCCCGCTTTCTGTAACGATATCCTGAAAGTGATTCAACAACTACAAATCTGCAATTACGTACTGCATGCTCTCAGATAAAAAGCAATTGTGTTACAACAACGAAATATAATCAAACAATAAAGATAACATATAATACATACTTTCATTAGGCGATCGAGAAGTTCGGTACCGTTCTTGACACTTTGCTCCGAATCGCAGGCCAATTTGCTCAGAGCACCGAAGATGTCCGTAAATTGAGGGAGCACGGCACCTCTTGCTACTTTCACGACATTGTAAAGACTCTCGCACGCAGAGTATCGCACTCGAAGATCCGAGTCACAAAAGCAAGCAAGAATCGGATGTATAAGGTCTTCGGTATATTGTCCGGTGTCCTTTCCCAAAGCAATAGCTATCGCAGCCAGTCCTATGAGACCACCTTTACGAGTATGAGGATTCTGAGACATGGCAAAGTCTTGACCAAGAACTTTCAGCAGTCTTTTAATCTGCGCCGTATTATTATGGGTAGCGAATTCTTTCACCATTCTACAGAAAAAATAAACAAGTAATTTTGCATGAAACGTACCTATTCAATTGGAAACTCGTATTCGCACGTATAACCTCACTTTTCAATTTCTAAAGCAGCGGCTTTTCTTTTCTCGTACATTTTGTCATTAAGTGAACGCACGCAAGCCGCACTGAGAGGAGCGTAATCTCTCTCGGAAATCATTATCAATATCAAGGAGTAGTTTACGCAAAATTTGATGCACAAAAAATAAACATTACTCCTAGCAGACTGGAGCAAACGACACGAACGACACGACACACAACCGGACAGAACACGACTTGATACGACTTGACTCGACTGAACCGGACCGAACTGTGCAGAACTGCGTGAATGTGATCGCGGGTTACACTTCTTGCCCTCGCTCGGGATCGAGGGTGGAAAGTGCAGAGAAAGTGTACACTCGGGGTAGATGCACTTGCAAAACGAACAGCGGCGTCTACGTCATTTCCGTCAAAACGAACGCCAATGTGTACCCTTTTCGTAAAAGTGTAGAATGTGTAGGCAAAACGAACAAACCTCTTATACACCCAATGGAATTTTGTTCTAAGCTTTCCACATTCGCCGCCGAAAGCAGCATAAGAACGCGATTGTGAAATCCTAGCCGTGAGCAATCTCTCAACTCATCTTTTCGTGAAATGGGTACAGTGGCGGAGCGAAATTTAAATATGTCACTTCCGGAAGTAAACTAACGAGTAGCTTAAGGTAAATAACAATTCTTTTGTAACTAAAAAAGAACCGGTATTTTTGAAAAGAGTTTCTTAAGTTCCCCGAAGGTTGTGTATTTTGTTAGTTAAATTATTTACGTTAATGGATCTTTTACCAGATGAAGAACGTAAAATTGTAACGTATGATTAAGCCTAACCTTCAATTAGCTACTTGTTTGAGATTTGCAGTGATTACTTTTGATTTCAGAAAAAGCGTCAAGGTGTGAGTCTACAACGACCAGTTCTTTGATACATTTTATAAGTCAGTGCGTAATAAATATTTTGACTAACCTCGAGCACAAAAGAAAGTTTTACAATGAATAAGTCAAAAGTCATCGAGGACCCAACCAAACCTCATGGATTCAAGAGAGCACTGCAACCAGACAAAATTATAGGGGCAACGGATTCAAGCGGGGAACTAATGTTTCTTATGAAGTGGTAAATATTTACATTTATGTATTGATTAATTCACCCGATCTTTTAAATAAGAGAGGAAGGATTTTAATATCTATCTTTGTAGGAAAGGAACGGAAGAAACAGATCTGGTTACGGCTAAAGAGGCAAACGTTCTTTGTCCTCAAATAGTAATTCAATTTTATGAAGAGAGACTCACTTGGCATACCACAAAGCCTCATCCAAAATGAAGCTCACCTGTAATTTATTATTTAGATAAATTTGATACATATTCTTAACGAAAACGAACAGATATTACTTACAAAATAATCTTCCGTGTTGCTTAGTAATGGTTAAAATTGCTAGCATTACAGTTAAGATCTGAGACTGCATAAAATAGATGCCAATATGGAATGTTCTTCTTTGGGACATCACCAACACGCAAATGGTTCTCATTGAATATTTGTACATATTCTGTGACATCAAATGAATGTTAAATTTGAATCATAACGATGCAAGATTTAGTATTTCCGATATTTTTATGTTTGAAGTTAAGCATTAGCTATCGTGACACTAGTCAAGATCTCATAAAAAATTAATACAAACTATGTAATGTAAATGGGTACATTAAAATGCAAGAGTTCGTTTAAGGTGAAAACTGGTTGATTTACTTCCACTAGATTTCAATGAATTGGTAATCAAATATCATTTTTATTTACAAAGCTATGATACAATATCCACTGTTTCTAGGAAACAATTTTTAAATAAATTTGTACAATTGATAAATACGATATAGTGTGTATGACAGTATTACAATAAAATTATACAAGTAAACCTTAGTTTTTCGAACACAGTTCTGACTTTCATTTATTTACATTTCTAACAATTAGACCATGAATATATTTGATTGGTGTCATAAAAGTTGCTAAAAAAATATCAGTCGCAGTAAGATTGTAAAATAATAAATATTAAGTAACCGTATCACAAAAGCACTTGGAAGATGTGCCCATTTATTTACATATTTTCTGTTCAATGATTTTTTTTAAAGACATTCACTTTCAGACTGTATTTATAGTTAATCGATACAGGGTTTTAGTATCTCAGCTGTTCGTCTCCTCCAATGGAGATCACTACGCTTTTTGATACTGTGTACTTCACTCACTTTTTTTATAGACAAAACATGAGGAATTCCATCGATACCATTGTGCTTTTTATGTTCATCACAATTTTTCTGATCGGATGAATACACTGTATGCCTTTTGATCGTAGAAATACAGTTTGTGCGTTCTGAGTCAATAACTGTACTTAATTGCATATTCTTATGAGACAGAATTCTCTGGTCAGTATTATCAATGTCAATACTTTTGTTTTCAAAATCACCAATAGCTCGCCTTTTCAGAATAAAATGTTGTGGCTTACTATGCTCTTGACTCCTCATTATCTCCTTTGTATTTCGCGTTCCTTCATTTGATAGTTGTCTATCTGTATGAGTTGGGGCTAATTCACTATTAACTGTAAATTTTTCTGGAACTATAAATTTATTTGCGACGTGTTTGTTAAATAAATTTGATCGTACCAGAGAAAGTTTATGAATTGGAAGTTGCCTCTCATTCTGGTTAGAACAATTTCGGAAAAAATAATTGTGATTGGAAGAATTTTGTGGATAAAGCTTCTCTTCGATTCTTCTGTTTATAACCACAGCTTCTGCAAGTGGAATCGGCTCGGTATGTGTGAATGTCTTTTTTGGTGTGTTCGTTGTTTCCAGTGGCTTTTTAATGCTGATTGGGCCATTGATGACTGGCACTGCGTTGCTCAGTTCACCAGTAGCTCTTATAACAGGAGTTATATTACCCATAGGATCCAGTCGAGAATTTATCTGATCGGATGAGTTTGTATGAATTATCGAAGCTTTAGGTGGACTTTTTGATAACAAGATAGAAGTTCTCTTTAATTTTCTCGATTTCTGTTTCTGTCTCAAGTTTTCAATTGTCTTTGCTTTCGAGGGTTTAGTATCTTTTTCCTGCGACTTATCATGTGTCTTCTCTATTTCATACACCGAATCTTCAGAATGATGATGTCGTATGTGGCGATTTAAATTGTCTTTTCGTCTAAAAACTGTACGACAAAACTGACAGGAAAATGGTTTCTCATCTAAAAAAACCATAAACAATGGTTGAGAATGTTCATTGAGAAAACTTTTCTACTATTTTAGTAAAGATGAAATTATCACTTAGATAATTTACCTGAATGAACGGTTAGATGTCTTCTTAATTCGCTTTTTGATAAAAACACGCGAATACAATGCGCACAGGAAAATGGACGTTCTTTTCCATGGGTGCGTTTATGTCGGACAAGTAAACATTTGTCTTTAAAACTTTTACTGCACTGTTCACATGAGTAGGGCCTCTCGCCTATATAAATGAAAGAGTTAAGTTATTATGCTAATTGTGATAAACAGCTTTACTTTTTTTTTACTCCGAATAATGTAACTTACTTGAATGGGTGCGCATATGACGTCTAAGGTTGGTCAACATTCTAAAAGATTTATTACACACTTTACATGTGTATGGGGCTATTCCTGCGTGTGCATTTATATGATATTTTAAATCTTCCCGTCTTCTGTAACCTTTTCCGCATTTAGGGCATGTAAAATCTTTATTTTCTTTACAACATGAGAAAATATTTGTCCATTAATAAAATAGTCTTGAATAGAAATAACTTGCTTGAGCGTAGAGAAGTACTTACTATTATGTGAGTACATATGTCTGTTAAGTTTGTTTCTTTGAGGGAAAGCTTTATCACAAATAGTACACTTGTGCGGCTTATAACCTGTATGCACTCTTTCGTGATACTCAAAGTGAGATCGCTTAACAAAACTTTTGTCACAAACTTTGCAATGGTATGGTCTTACTCCAGTAACACAGGCATCATGGTAACACTTGCCTTTCTTGTTTCTGAATATTTTACCGCATACGTTACATTTATATCTCTCTGGAATTCCTGGCACTGTTAAGATATGGCTTCGATCAGGACATTTTCTTGACACTTTATTTTTTATTCCCTTTTCATCTTCGGTACAAGTTGATTTCATTTTCTGAAAAATAGGTAAACACTTCACCTTTATATATTTTTTTGTTAAATACTTATACACTCCATATTAATCTCTTCCCTATTCCGTTATTCTTACATTAGAGTCACCAGCTTTCTGAATACTTTCTTTGTCTTCACTGGTTTTTTCCAAATGTGTCCTAATATTGGAAACCAATTCCAGAGGTTCTATCTTTGGAATGTGCAATCTCGACGTAGCACTGTCGGGGTCAATGTTGTTAAGATTTTCCCTTTGTTCCCGATTACCTATTTTGTCATTGTTAGAAATTAATCTATTAGTGCAATCTTTATCTGCATTAAGATTGTCACTGACAAATTCGAACTGGGATGAAGTTCTATTAATTACAACCTCCATCGGAAGTATAATTTCTTCATTAATAAGGGAAGGCTTAACATCCAAAGACATCATATTTTCAATTTCTTGATCTTTTGATGGCGGATAGTCTGCATAAAATGAGCATGATATATCTCTGATTAAAGGGGCATTGGAATATCATTTGCCTTACCGAAGTTACCAATGGTACGAATGCGATGCTCCTCCTGGCAAGCTTTACAGCCTTGTTCCTCGTAAAGCAAGCACATGCGACATTTTGTATGGCCACAAGTGTCTTTGACAAGCCTTGAGAAAGATGCATTTGTAAGCTGTCGGCAGTTTGGGCATTCTTCACCCATAGTGTATTATTATTTCTATTGTATTATTTATTTTTAACATAAAATTCCGATACTCTTTGGCAACATATTTTCATGTTAACGAGTATCGTGATTCCTTCAGGATATAATAGCTGATTTCTATGTATAATTAACTGAAACAAATGCATATTATATTTTATGTCAAAAATAAAAACATTACATAAGAATACATAAAGAGCTTTACCTTGATCGAAAACGCTTTTTCAGGTATCTTTACTTCTATTTTTTAAAAACTTAACAAGGACTCGTTATGACTTGTTAAAGACCTCTCACTCGGAGTTGAAAAATTCCCAATTATACATTATTATGGGTAAAAATAGCCGGCACTCCAGTTAGTTATTTTATCAGTCGGTGCTATTAAAGAAACAAGTTTAACATAAAAAGAAACACCACTTCTCCACGTTCCACAAATGTATTTGGCACCAATAATCAACACTTGCTGTCAATCAGTGTCACCAAATTCCACAAACAGAGAGCTAGTAAATTTATCGACTACGTGTTGGTATCCTGAAGCAGGTCTGCCCTTTACTAAAAAGAACCCTTTTCAACTCGAACATAACGTGAATTCAACTATAGTACCGACTTCATTTTCCCCGCAATTGTGTTACGTCTTTTTTCCAGTACATGCCATGTTTGTTCATTCAACACATGTTCTGTATATCGCATGTAGTTAAAATACATCCTGGGTTATTTTGGAACCCGACAGAAGATTTTTATCGAATGAAAGATAAGTAAAGAATTAAAACTATTCAAAACAAGAAATTATGGCAACTAGTAAAAATCCTCAAGCAGTATTCCCACCGGTATGTGGATCAAATGATTATGTTGGCCAGTAATTTTAGGATGTTTGTCGGATTGTAAAATGAAAGGTTTTTATTATAACCTCTTCTTTGTACTTCAGGGTTCCGATGTTTATGATGTTCCGATCATCATCACTTTTGAGGATCAGCAGAAGATCAATAGATTTGCACGGCTAAACGCCAAGTTGGAGGATTACAAGGAAGAGATTAAAATCAAACAAGTAAGAAATTGTTAACGTAGTTTAAATAAAATCTTGAAATTCTTAATTGTTTCTAAAATTAGCGATACCTAATCATGATTGCTAGAAAATAATAAAGCATTATTCCTATTGTACTTTGTTGCAGAATAGCATAAAAAACCTAGATGATGCTTCCGATGAATTAGCTCTTCTAGATGACGCCGTCAAGATCCCTTATCAGTTCGGGGAAGTATTTGTAGCTCATAATCTGGAAAAGACACAGGTATGGCAGCTTGTTATAAAATAAAATTATACAGTTAAGTATTATCTTTTTGTGTTTTTAATTGCACCACGTGAATGCTTTCAGCATTGTCTTGAAGCAGCCAAAGAGAAAAAACAAGCTGAAATTACTGAATTAGACAAGAAATGTGCAAGCTTGAAGTCAGTAATGTCCGAATTAAAAACACAACTTTATGCGAAGTTTGGCGATCACATCAACTTGGAAGCAGATGATAATTGATGAATGAATCATCAAGCATTTGATATGCATTAATTAATTACACTAACGTCATTAACGAGTATGCCCACATTTATTTAAAGTTAATGTCAATGCCTTACGATGACAAAATTATACAGAGTTCAATGGTGCATTCACCATCGGTCATCGAATCATTAGTGTTATTCTCCAGTGAATGATTCTTACAAGTACATACTTTGCATAATTATTTGTAATCGCTTTTCATACACTACTGTAAATGATCTGGAGACACGCGAGACTGATCAATAAATTTTCGTTAACATTTTAATAGTTGTAAGTTTACATTTCTAGCGATCCATCCATTTTGTATGGATATAAAAAAATACTATTTAACAGATCATACGTTTTTTGCATCCGACTGGTCACCTAAGTTTCACTAGTTGTGTACAACCCCAATCTAAACGTAGAGGCGTTTCTTTCTTTTGCATTGTATTTTTAGATGGGCACTTTCTACTCGAACCCAGTACCACAGCTTGCAATGCGATAAGCCACCAAGTACATTAAAATCTCAAATTAAAGGCATTCTCCCTGCTAAGAATATAATACAAATTATTATTCACTAAATAGAAAAATGGACGTTAGTTTATTGGTCTGCATTGCAACGATCTATTTAAAACTGGATTGTCATTAGCTAATACCGTCCTCTTTAGCTTTGGCCTAATTAAAGGAAGATTCTTAAATACGCTGTAATAAAAAAAAATCAGCAGTGTGTCGACGTGCAATTAGCATTACTCGCTATATCTGGCGAATGCAATTAATCACTTAATCGAAGAGAAGCAGCCCCGCTTCCTTCCACCTTACTCCTTGTGGTAATTTTAGTTTCACCTCGTGGGTATGGTCTTCTTGGTTCATAGACCACCTCTGCCAATTTAGTCTACCTTTGCTGCAGGCCGACAAAGGCGTACGTGTTCAAAGAACCCATCGAGTACTGCAACTATTAGATCTATATAGAAGAAAATTAAAAGTTATAATACTCAAGGTGCAACAAGCAGAAAGGATCGCGACAAAAAATTTAAACAATTTAATTATTGCGAGGAGGAAAGGATCGAGGATCCGGGGTGACTTTGAAACTGACTTCTACGTTAAATTAGAAAATACTGACTATCTCACGGTGTAGAATAATTAGAGCCTCATGACATAACTGAGGCTTTACATCAAGACCAAATAGCTGTAAATTAAGCTAGAGGTGTTAAATCGAGGAAAAAATCAGGACCAAAGAAAATGGACACCGCCAAGCAACTAATTCTCACTTTGAAGAAAAATAATAGATCACACGTCGGTTATGGACTGCAAAAGGAGAGCGAGGCTTTGATGCGTCACATATTGCAAAATATGGCAAAGTCGGAATTGCCTATATTGCAGGCTGAGGTGAAAAACGAAGAGGACTCGGTCAAATATCGAGAAGAAGGTAATCCTAATTAATACACGCCCTTGTTCAATATTTAAAAGACCTAGGCTTCAACAACAATTAATCACTACCGATTCGATAGGAAATCAGCACTTCGTGTCCGGTGACGATATCGAAGCTATGGAAAGCTACACGAAGAGTTTAGCGTATGCCGACAGCGAAGAATTAAAAGCGTATGCTCATGCCAACCGGTCAGCTGCACTTTATCGGAAGCAAATGTACAAGGAATGTTTGATAGACATCGATGCAGCCATCTCGTACGGGTATCCCCAGGACAAGAGGAAAAAGCTGAAGCAAAGAGGAGAAAAGGCAATGGAGGAGATAAAGAAGGCCCTGCAGACGAGGGCAATAAAGGATGTTCCGGTTTCCGGTCTCGACATCAGTGACTCGGATCTGTCGAAACTCATCGACGGTGCCAATGCGAACACGTGTCCTTTCGGCAGGACGAACGACTCCACGACGAGGAAGTTCCCCCTGATCCGGGGCGTTGATGCCGAGGACGATAGGAAAGAGAAGGGGCCTCTAAACGGCTCGGTAAGCGCGCTTCCGGAAGAGTACATGGCACCGGAGAGTTCGGGGAAGCCGAGGTACGTCCTGGCCGAAGGTCCTCCAAAAGTCGCATTCGGTCCCAGCGAGGAGGCCCCAGCTTCCAGCAGCGGGGTCCGGATCGTCTTCAACGAGCGGTACGGTCGTCACCTGGTGGCCACGAAACAGTTCAAGCCTGGCGATGTCGTCACCGTTGAGGACCCTTATGCATACATCGTCTACACGGAGAAGTAACGACCTGAAACGTTTGAAGACACGGTGGTTGAAAATTAGCGTTGCACATCACCACACACGTACACTATATATATATTTGTTTTCTAGAGGGAAACAAAGGATCACTACTCACTTCCTTACCTCAAGTCTTTCCCCGACTACTCTGCACCTCCCATACCTCGATCTACCTGGGAGAGATTGCCATGGGAATCTCGCCACCCATTTTACGTAGTCACAAAACACCCCACAGTTTATCACGCACAGCATGGACACAGCGCGGAGGAGGAATGGGAATTCCTGCGCTAGAGGTATCCCCTCGCATAGGTGCCAAACCGGTCACGAATAATATTTCAATCTGTTTCAGGCATTACACTCACTGTCATCACTGTCTGTCAAGAAGTTACAACCTGATATCCTGTCCCCAATGTCCCATTGCGCAGTACTGCTCCGAGGAGTGTCGGAAAGCTGCCTGGAAGACGGTCCATCGAACCGAGTGCCCGATTACGGCGTTGCTCTCGAATCTCCTGAACGTTGACAAGGACAAGATGCGAATGCTCACGAAGATCTTGAGATTCCTGGTGGTGGTTACCGAAAATGGCACCGGCATCGACGGGCTGCAGGCCGACACGAGGAAGGCTGAGTCTAATCCAGGTGACGATGGACGTTGTCGCATCCCTGGGTCGGTTGCGCGTAATGACGTCTTTTTATCCTCAGACAACAGAACCGCCGGGTTCACCGATGAAGGGATTCTGGACAGCAAGAGTGCTCGCAGTGCTCTAAGTCTCGCTACCAATATGACGACTCGTCCTCTCATCGGCATCAGCGCGTTTGCCTGCATCTCGGCCCTGGCTACCATCCTGCTGGCCACGCAGACCGACTTCTTCGGCAAGGGATACGAAGTGCACCAGTTGAGGGACATCGGTCAGCTGGCAGAGATCACTTTCTGCAGCACCCTGATGCTCAGAGCCTGCGTCATCATGTCTTCCAATTGCTTCTCGGTAAACGTCTCCGCCGCGATCGAGGGCATTCTCCTGACCCTGCGGTATACCACAAATAATATAGCTTTAACAATAATCCACTGTGACTAAAGGTAACGCAAAAGCGTACACCTGTATCGCACGGTCGCCGATTAACGATTCACCGCCTTAAAATGGTTTCAGATACAACCGGAGCCGGGCATAAAGTCGGGGTCCGGTTTGTACGTTTGCCACAGTCTGTACAACCATTCTTGCACGCCGAACACCTTTAGACACTTCGAGGGGCTCACCATGATCACTCGGGCACTTCACCTGGTGCGTCCCGGCGATCAGATATTCACCTCGTACGGGGCTGGCTACGCCTTCATGACCAGGCCAGAGAGGAAGCGGAAGATCATGGAAGAGTACTTCTTCGATTGCACTTGTCCCGCTTGCGTTGACGACTGGCCGACGTACAATGTGATCCTGAAGGAGCACGTAGGATCCGTCGTTGGGAGGAAAGAGTTGACGGACAGGTTGAAGCCGTTCAAGAAGAGGCTGCTGCAGAACAAGTACGACATCGAGGCTGTCAGAAGCGTGTTGGAGATCCTGGAAGGAGAAGTTTCGATGCCCTGCGAAGAAATAGTTCACGCGATACAGTACCTGAAGAGCTACTACCTGGGTAAACTGAAATGAAACTTTCTTTTTTTTTTTTCCTAACGCTTCACCTTACTTCGCTTATTTCCTATGCGTTGTTACATCTACGCGCGCTGCTAAAACAAAAACAAAAAAAGAAAAAAGAAAAACCCTTTGCGCCGCTTAGATAGTGAAATCTGCTTACCCGTTTGTCGATTTGTTACGCTTTTCACGAATACGTTGCTTTGGATGCGTTAATCGAAGCCTTGCCGCTTTCTTGTGTGAATAAAATCGCCTCGCAGCTACCGTCGCAAAAGCACTCGAGTACGTATATCAAGCCCCTTTGATGTGTTGCCGCAAGACCGTGCCGAATTGCAAGTGTAAAGGACTACTTGCAATTATAACAGATCCTGAGAAGATAACAGAAGATACAAAAGTTACGCAGGGAGGAAGTTTACGTTTAAACGGCTAACGTAAGTCTTAAGCTCTCGTTAATACGAGTGCGAAAATAACTTTTAACTAATAAAATTAACATCGGGATTTGTTACAGGTATAACGCTATGTTTACGCGTGTTAAGAGTGACAGCGGAACAGTGATAACAGAGATTCTAGAACCCTCTTAGTAGGTGGAATAATGATTACACTTTTTTATATTCTAGATCCCTGAGGAGAGTTTGCAACCGAATCACGTTACGCTCATCCAGGAAAGGATGACACACCTGGTTCTACCAACACTTTTATTAAAGTCCTACATAACTCTGATACCGATAAGTGGCCACAATCGTTTACGGTGAAATTTATTTTGGGGAACAAAGTCGTTCGGGTTGACGTTGAAGCATTTAAGAAGAATTATTTTTTATAGTAAGTACGGAAGATATTCCACGACTCTTTAAGGGTTACTTTACCGCCTTCGGAAGATGGGACAAAATGCCCGTTTAAAGTACTCAGAAATTAACAGGAATTTATTGGGGACCATTTTATACAGAATGACAACGATCCGGAGCTTTCCTAGACACCAGTAAAATTGATGGGAAATGACATATGTGTAAATATATTCCTATTGAAGATACTTTATATCTTACATACAGATTAAGATGTATCACGTGCCGACGTAACGCAGACAACTTAGTCTCGAGCAAGATATATACGAGTTAAATAAATTTGACCAAAATCATGTAAAAAATCAACTTTTATTTAAACCAGTTTGAGGGAATCCTAGGGTATGGTAATGAAATGGCATCGACGACTGCCGGAAAAGACGAAGTGTCCGTTCACATGGCGATATAAAAGAAAGTAATGCTACTTACGACTTCTCATTAATATCTAGATTTATATAATTACTCTCCAGTGTTTATCCGAATCAATGTACTTGCTTTCGAAGCAGGATTCTAAAAATCGTCCAACGCGCGAATTAAACTCCAAATCGCGAGCCGCGCGTTAAATTGAACGGTGCTTCTATTTAAATAAAACGAATGATTTTTTACATACGCTGTCTACAATCCTAGACAAATATTTAATACTTCCCGATGAGCGTACAGTCGGCATGAAACAATCGACTACCTTCAACTCTCAACTCTTGTGGATACTCCCTAGTTGTTTAGTGTAGCAAATATAAATTGGGAAAACGTGTTAGATAAATAATGAAAAAAGAAAAAAAAAAAAAAGTAACACGAAACGGATACTCTAGACATATTTCGATAAACCAGCGCATTCTTCTCTGAGGGTAATAATTCGACATTTAGACAGTTTGCCTAAACTCCGCGTCGATTTCTCCATAATTCGTCCTTCCGAGGTCCTAAATTCATCCTCGCGTATTAATATCCAACACGTATTGCTTCGACGCTTTACGACGAAAGAATGCTCGATCGCTCTTTTCATTAAAACGAACTGAGCACAGTACAATTAAGACACGTGGGTCCGTAATCGTAAGCCACTGTGATCCGCCAACAAAGTACCATTAGCGGTGCAAGATGGTTTAAAAAGAGGGCCATCTGCGAACGCGGATATAAGGTTTCATATATTTCGTGCGAGGAAACAATAATTAACGAGTAAGACCGGCCGAGTGGGTGTCCAAATGGATTTTGCATTTGGAGGCAAACTTCGGCGCGTGTAAAATCCTTTGACTTAGGCGGAACAATTGAAAGAACGTAACGCTTAAACGGTGGCTCGTGTAAAATACGCGTTAAATTGCTTCGCTCGGCTATAATTAGGGTGAAGTGCTTGCGTATGTATGTACGATGTTTAATTGAAGATAGGTCGGCCGGGCGAGTTAAAAGCGACCTATATTAGGAAAGGCAGCGAAGAGCGGGGCGGGCGTAGCTGCGGGTGGTTGATCTCCAATGTTTTTCAGCAGATTCCCTTGCAAAAGGCTATCGAGGGCCCTCTGTACCGTGGGATTGTTAAGCAGAGGCGACGGCGAGACTCCGGTCGTCGTGGAAGTCGTCGTCGAGCTCGTGGTAGACGTGGCTGCTGGCAATATAACACAAAAGTCAGTTGCGGCGAGATCCGTATGCCACTGCTGGAGAAACCAGCCCAGGAAAAGCTCTCCCTCGCTCGCTCGAGTGGCTCAACATCGGCGAGGTCGAGTTTCCCGGGAAAGCCCTCGGAGTGGCGGCAAGAGAAGAGACGGTAAAACTGTCCACGTGGTTGTTACCTTCCTCAAAACCGACACGAAATCTTTCGTCGCACAAATCGCTACCGTTACACGTCAGCGCTCCTCGTTCGCGAAAATTTCGGAAGTACTCGCCGGCGATGAGCGGGATCGCACGTCGAGGCTGCTGACGGAAACCGCGGGAACCGCGGAAACGTCGACGCACTTTGCCGCAAGGGTGAAGGTCGACCTTGCAAAATGCAAGGCTTACTCCGCAAACGTTCGAAAAAGCCGGACCCGTCCACCCGAGACGGCGGCGAAACGAACGACGAAGCTGTACTCCGATGTCCCGGTCGGATACAACTCGTCGCGCAAAGGTCGGCCTTGCAAGCTGCACTCTGTGCATCGATCTTTCAAGCCGCCTTTCCCGTAAATCTGCGCAAAGTGTAAAGAATGGAAAAAAAAACAAAAAAACGGGGGTACTCCACCCAAACTGCGATCAGACTGATCGCAACGTTGACCTGGGGTAATTAAATAGTGCGGCAGAGCTCCGGACGACCGATCGCCCTTACATAAGGCACCGTTGAGAATTTTCTGTAAAACGCGAACGGGAACGGTACGGTCAAGTATTCGCGATTTATCGGTATGAATGTTCATGACGGCGTTCGTTCATGACAGCTTCCTACCGATACGAAAACCTGCGCAAACACTGATCTCGCCAATGTTATGTCATGTACCGGGTTGAGGGTGCTCGCCGATAATTTAACCAGCACTAGCAGACCCCTAAACGACCTACCGATATAAAAAGTCGTACCAAAATTGCCTTACAGACCTACGAAATATTTGAAACCGACTGACTTTTAACATCGGCTCCATGTTTCGCCTGTTATAGGCACGGTATACGGACTTCCCACGAGTGGCGTATGAATGATGGTCGGATACGTGGGACCCTGGCTACGTAATCACGTCCACTCTCAAAACGGTCATTTTTTTTTCACACTCCTGTTTTCCACACAGGTTTTGGAACTCCCAAGAACACCGTTATAGGCACCTCGTTCGCAAAAAGTACCGACATCATTGCGTCGATTAGCGCGTAATGAACGTTCGCTCTTAAAATGGCAATTGGTTTACGTGTACGATCCTGGTTTATTATCGACATAACAACGGGAGTCTTAATGTACAGGCTCTGCACGAAAGGCAAAACACTCGGCGGAGATGAATGCAAAGCCTGGAGGTATAACACCGTAATTTCGTAATGACTTTTACCTGCTCCCCAATTAGCTGGAGGGACAGGAGCCGGAGCCGGAACGGGGCTAGGAGCTGGTACCGAGGCGGCGGTCTTGTTGCTGTTCAGAATGTTCAGGATCCTCGACTGGAGTTCGGCTTGCTTTGGGTCGCTCACGGCCAGAGTCGTCGATGGCAAGTCCTTGGCATCGCCCAACTCGACCTGGACCTGCTCCTCCCTTTTCACCTCTAGATACTTGATCACTCGGTCGTACTGCAGCACGGTCAATTGATGATTGTCTGCCAACATGTTCAACAGAACCTGAATAGCGTCAGGGTGGCGCTCATTAGCGAATGGGGTATTCAGGGGCACCGAGCGACCGCCTGATTTGTAGTTGGCGAAATCTCGCGTTATCAGATTGATGGCATCTTCCAGCGGCATGTTTCTGTGCTCTGGAGATCAGTAAAAATTTTGTTAGTAAGCCTTTAATGTTTCGGATGGTTCTACGTAGTGATTAATCAACTGCGTACCTTGAGGAAGCCCGTGAAGAATGTTTAATGTCAGTGAGTGATGTTCCTGATTGATGTGTGTCACTACGACTGCATAGAGGCAACCTCGGCTGGCTATGTTTCCAAGAACTCGGCTGAGGGGAACATCTTCGTTAGGGAAAAGAAGATCCACTGTCAGACCCATTTTCTTTAGACGCATTTCTATGGCCTCTGCGTAATCACTGAAAATATGTTTCAGATAATTATTAAAAAATCTTAAACTTACACTGTTAATTGATGTATACATTTTATCAATGGAGAATTTCATCAAAGTATTTCTGCTTACGTTAAACCTTTGTTGACAACGATTATCTCGCAGTCATTCTTTTCAGCTACGGCTGACTGATAATCCACCGAACCACTAGATCCCCTGCAAATTATGTCAATTGTTAACAGAATGATTTGCACGTATCTACGAAGAGATATAATTTAACACCATCCCCTCCTATAGAATTTAAAAAACGGAATCTCACCCATATCCAGAGCTCATCTCTCTGGGACCAACTCCATGAGATCCTGCCATAGGTCCTCCAACAGGGCCTTTTAGATCGTCGAAACGACCACCGTCAAAGGAACCACTGCCAAAACTACCGTGACGACTTCTATCGCCAGTTTTCTCCCAATCGTGGCCGAGTTTGTCATCGCGAGGTCCTCTGTTTATCGGACTTCTATCCCGAAAACTATTTACTCCAACTTCCTTGTTTTTATTCCTATTCTTTCCACCTCTATTCCCTCGAACTCGTAGAACATTTTGACTCTGATTCATTCCACCACCGCCAAGGTTGGGTCGTCCTTGATTACCAACGGGTCTATTCTGATTATTTCCACCAAAAGGTGGATTAATACCACCTCTGCTTTGGCCGCTCACTCCAAACATATTGCCCCCACCTCTGTTTTGATTCCCAATGCTAAATTGATCATTTCCTCTATTCTGATTCCCACCACCGAACTGGTCGTTATCCCCTACACTTTGGTTTCCGTCGTCAAACTTTTCTGGGTCACTATCCCAACATTCGTTACTGTCACTGAACTGGTCGTTCGAAGTATTCATGCGATTCGGCATAATTCCCCCTCCTCCACCGTCTCCACCCGGTCCCCCTATTCCTCCTCGCTTCTGATTCGGGCCACCACCAAAGGGGCTATCCTTGTTGAAGCTTGGCGTAGATGGAGCAAAAGTTGAGTTTCCTCCTCCAAAACTTCGATTAACACCAAAAGAATCATTTCCACCAAATGGAGATTTTCCTGGGCTAAACTGGTTATCCATTCCACTTGGCTTTCCTAATCCACTCATTCCACTTAGGCTTTTCATTCCCATACCACCGGCCATTCCCATTCCACCACCACCACCACCGCCGCCGCCGCCGCCGCCGCCGCCACCACCACCTCCTCCTCCTCCTCCTCCTCCTCCTCCAAGCGTGTCCTTTTTTGCTGGCCTTACATCTGAAAAGTATAATGAATTTCAATGTTTCTTTTGCCACTCAATATAAATATTTATAATAAAACAATGTCCTAACGATTCCAATTACTAATAAAGCCAACTGTACCGATTCTCCTTCCTTTGAACATGGCTCCGTTTTCATTTTTAATAGCTTGCTGCGCACTCTGTTCATCTTCGAATTGAACAAAGCCAAAGCCTCTATTGATCAAAGATCCTACAACGGTCCCGTATTTAGTGAAGTGCTCTTCCAGTTCGTGCTTGGTCATGTCTTCGGTCTGTAAGTGACCAACAAATATTCTACTGCTAACGGTAGCAGGGTCCTTTAGAAGTCGTGCACTCATTTTTAAGGAGAGTCGACCTTTCCTGTATAAAACAAAGGTAATAATTCATACACAATCTAGAACAAGTAAGGACATAAACTTGAACGTCTCTGTATCATTAAAAGGTATTCTGATATTCTGGAGTAAATAGTATAATTAAAGAGTATGTTCAGGTTATGATTGAGAGCTGAAATCACTCACCAGATCCCTTATCACGGACTCTGCACAAACCAGTTCCTAAATACACGGCCAAGTTGCTCGGATTATCGAAGTTCTCTGGAATTCAGATGTAGCACGGAATTGACTGAAAAGTTACTCGGAAGTCAAATTGTCTGAAGTATACAAACGAACGTCAGATACATCGGGAAAGCACGCAGAGAAACGAACGTGAACAAACGAATGAATGCTAGGAAGGGAGCTTCGTACAGAGATGAGTTGGGAGATTGCTCACGGGCAGGGAGGCGCGATCGCATCCTGTGCTGCCCTCTGGTTTCGTACGTTAGCTTTCACATACGGAATGATGATGACGGGACTCTACGGACCAATTACCATCATGAGTACGTGAGCCGCCAACGACGACTGGTAGATGGTACCGCCATCGCGGGTGCGCGAGCTCCTATCAGAAATTCGTTGCGCCGCCCTTGGGGGCAAAAAACGGTGAAAGCTAACGTACGAAACCAGAGGGCAGCACAGGATCAATCGCACAATTCTGCCCGTGAGCAATCTCCCAACCACATCTCTGGTACAGATGGCGTTCGGATTTTCGGATATTCGACGCGCCACTTTCAAATAACTTCACGAATTGGAACGCTGGCAGCGCTGCCGTCGCTGTTCCAACTTGGCGAAAAAGATTTCAAATAATAACTTCCAGAGCGTTATTTTCGTCGATAAAGACCTACGTAACGAGCGTTATCTAATTTCAACACCTCGACTTTTAACCCAAACCCCCGCGGAGAGTCAGATACGGCCCTGTTATATGTACTTATTTCTTAAGTAATCGAAATAAAACGTCAATCGGTGACAAGGTTTCTGCAGGCTTAATCAAAAACACTTGTTGAACTCCATCGGGAGAGCACGTTTCGTGTGGTCGAGTTAACCGGTTTTTCCCCCCAAGAATAAGTACATTTCTGCTAGAGTAAAATCGTACACGTAACGTTTGCAACATGTCTGGAAGAAAATTAGGTAAGTGATCAAGTTATATTTTATACAGAACGATGAAGAAACATTTATCTTCGTATTTCACAGTATTTCACAGTATGCTGAATTAATGCGATACCAAATATATGTGAAGATGCATGTGAATATTGTGAATCATTGAGAGATTATTAATTTCTACACAATTTCAGCTTTATTAAGTGTCTCCGATAAGAGTAACTTATTACCCTTTGGAAAAAAATTACACGAATTGGGTCTTACGTTGGTTGCTTCGGGTGGGACTGCAAAGTCGCTAAGAGATGTTGGTCTGCCAGTCAAAGATGTCTCTGAAATTACTGGTGCACCTGAAATGCTCGGAGGGCGAGTTAAAACTCTTCATCCTGCAGTACATGCTGGTAAGGCTTTCAAGTTATTTTTTTTTTTTTAATCAATGTTCATTTAGCATAATTTTCTGGTATCTTGTTATAGGTATCTTAGCCAGACTTACTGATTCCGATCAAGCGGATATTAAGAATCAAGGATTTGAACTTATTTATATCGTTGTATGTAATTTGTACCCATTCGTAAAGACGATTTCGAAATCAGATGTGACTATTGACGATGCGGTAGAAAACATCGATATTGGTGGTGTAACTCTGTTAAGAGCCGCAGCAAAGAACCACTCTAGAGTTACCGTTATCTGTGACCCTAATGATTACGAAAAGGTTATAACGGAGTTGGAGACTTCAAACGATACAAATACTTCCTCGGATACTAGGTACATCAGATTTTTCTACCTAGAAAAAAATAGCTTTTCTGGAGAAATCATGTTATGTTTATACTCTATTTAATTTTAGGAAAACTTTGGCTCTCAAAGCATTCACTCATACTGCAGAATATGATGCTGCAATTTCCGATTATTTCCGCAAACAATACAGTGCAGGCATTTCGCAACTGTCTCTTCGTTACGGAATGAATCCACATCAGAAGCCGGCACAAATTTATACAACGTTAGAGAAACTTCCACTGAAGGTTGTTAACGGTTGTCCTGGTTTTATAAATTTGTGTGACGCACTTAATGGCTATCAGCTTGTTAAAGAATTGAAATTAGCCTTGGACTTGCCTGCTGCGACTTCCTTTAAGCACGTCAGTCCTGCCGGTGCTGCCGTAGGGCTACCCTTAAATGCAGATCATGCAAGATTGTGTCAAGTGGATGACATAATAAATTCATTGACACCATTAGCTTGTGCCTATGCTCGAGCTCGAGGAGCTGACAGAATGTCTAGTTTCGGTGATTTTGTTGCATTGTCCGATCCTTGTGATGTTCCAACAGCTAAAATAATTTCAAGGTTATTGTGATATTCTCTATTATACTTGGATTAAATTTCATTGCCGTTAAATGATTTTGCTTTTCACTGCAGGGAAGTATCGGATGGTATAATAGCTCCTGGCTACTCCGATGGCGCACTTGAAATCCTGAAGAAGAAAAAGAATGGCGGTTATTGCATCCTTCGGATCGACCCAACATATGAACCCGCTCCACAAGAGCATAAGGTTCTTTATGGTATGACTCTGGAACAACTGCGCAACGATGCAGTCATCGACAAGACCACGTTCGCAAATATTGTAACGAAGACCAAGAATCTATCACACGATGCCATCAGAGATCTCATCGTAGCAACTATTGCTCTGAAATATACCCAGAGTAACTCCGTATGTTATGCCAAGGATGGTCAAGTAATTGGAATCGGTGCTGGTCAACAATCCCGAATTCACTGCACGAGATTGGCTGGTGATAAAGCTGACAATTGGTACGGAGGCTATTCGAACAGGAATATTTGAAGGAATTATGAATCCCATAAAAAAATAGCGTAACATGATTCAACTATTAAAGGTGGCTGCGTCAACACCCAAAGGTGACTGGCATGAAGTTTAAAAAAGGCGTGAAAAGGGCCGAAATTTCAAATGCTATCGACAACTACGTAAATGGATCGATAGGCAAAGACATGGATGAAGCTACTTGGGCAGCTGCTTATGAAGTGGTTCCTGAAAAACTTACGGAAGCGGACAAACAAGAGTGGATAAGCAAGTTCGACGGAGTTGCTTTAAGCAGTGACGCATTCTTCCCTTTCAGGGACAATGTCGATAGAGCGAAACAGGTAAGATAATGACGACTGATTTTATCCATAACATTAACATAAATTGATACCTCATCGCCACGTAATAACGATAACATTTTAATCCAGAGTGGAGTTCGATACATCGCGAGTCCAGCTGGGTCTACTAACGACGAAGCTGTAATTCAGGCTTGCGACGAACACGGAATCACGATGGCTCACACCAATATTCGGCTTTTCCATCATTGAAGCGAAACGCTATATTTTTATACCGGGCGTAGAAACTATAGAAATCACGAAGTTTATATTCCCGTTCCTCGTATACGAGGTCATCGAATTTTCTGATCGATGAAGTATCTCGCTTTCTTCGGATTTACATGTTTTTCAATAGATATTGTTTATGCTACTTTTATTTCATTAATCATTCCTCCTTGCGATATTAATAAACTTTTCATTGCAAGTGCACTCTACGTAGTGTAATCGGAACGTTCGCTGTGTTTGAATTTTATAATTGACTTACATATCTTATCCATTCTAGGAATACATATCGGAGCTACCGGTTGCCAGTTTCCCTAAGCCTCTTCGCGGCCACTCATTTCGAAGTCTGTCGATAACACATTAGAGGGAAGTAGATAAAGCGAAGCGGACAGACTCGGAGGGAGTTAACTGGCGGCAGCGGAGGTGCTGAAGGTGGAGGTGGGAGCTCAACTGGTGGAGGTTCCACGGTTTCGGTATCATCTTCAACTTCTGTCCAGGTGGAATCGCGCACAGTTGCCTCGACATCGAAGACCGCCGGATAAGAAGAAAAAAAGGTTACGCTCATTTTTTTCAGCGAACGAGTCCGTGATTTCGATAACCACGGTTAGTGGAATCCGCGAATACCGGTCGTACTCGAAGAGTGCACTATCACTCTTATCCGCGATATCACCGGACCATACGCTAGCATTCGGATAATCTACTCAGTGAATTCGGCTCGAGTGTTTTCGGATAACGAAATTCTTAATCGAGGCTAGCCCAGAAATAGTACGAAGAGTGATTCCTGGCCTAAATATAAAGCAATCCAGCTCTCGTGTTCCGCCTCTGCCGATCGACCCGGAAGGAGATCCAAACATCTCGGAAAGCCAAAGATATATATATAATATCCGGCCAACGAGTCTTCCCGGAAGGAATAGAATGTAAGAATATTTCTTGCCTTCGATCCCGGGTCCCAATATCGTCTCGCAGTCTCCCCCAGAGTCACGCAATGAGAGTCATGCAACGGAATTTGAATCCCTGCCGAGGAGAGGAACGCCACCTGGAAATAAAAAAAGGAGCTCAGTGACTCGAATTAACGAACTCCCCGAGGATTTTGATTCCACCTCGGCTCCCGACTCCCGAGATCGATAGGACACATGCGCTCTGCTCCCGTGACACGCTTCCAGAATTGCGTCTCTAACTGCGTTTTGGCACCTCGGCGCCTTGCCTCGGCGTGTCGGATTATTTTCCCGATCGCGTCATAAGAATCGAATCCAGGAGGCGAGGGCCGGGCCAGGCGAACCCTTCGTTGGGGAGAGCAGTGACCATCCGAAAGGGAGCCACGACGGGTAAACGACGTCTTCCCGGAGAGTGAAAAAACAAAAGAACAGGTGGGTTCCTCTCCCTTGGCGCCAATTCCGAACGCTCGACCGCCCCTGAAACAAAAATGAGTCGCTAGGATCCCTTACGTGGACTAACGTTATTCGACGCGACCCTCTGATTAAGGCAAAGGTAAACGTGCGAGTCATTTGCTGAGCCGCGTCGTGCAAAAAAAATGTTTATTCTGCCTCTTCCTTGGCGAGTGTCGGAGTCCCGTCGTCGTCGCTTTTAACGAGGCTTCCTCCGACCTTCTACCTTTTGCTCATAATTCATTGCATGACGAGTGCCACGAATTACGTCATGGTGCCCCTGGTCCCATCGATATTTTTCCCCGACTCGATAGGACGAATTATGGCCCTACTTTGATGATCGGACCACCTAGAATACGTGGCTCGTATGTATGTCGGTTTGTTGTGCTCTCGATCGATCCGCACCACCTGTTCCTTCTTGCTCGGGTGAATTTTTCATCGAAGGCCTAACGATATCGGGTCTCTTCGAGTATGTCCATTCTTCCACCTGTCGTGCGAGTAGCCGACAAGGAACGTCCTCGACTCTGCTCGCGAGTTTAGACCGCGCTAACTACATTGATACGCGATTGGCGCAATCTCTATTTATAGCTGTGAGCTCGGATGTTCCTCTCCTCTCGGTTAGACTTTTAAAAGGTCATTTAAAGCCTTTCCAAAATGACGTTTTGCATTAATCGTATTTTCTGGATCCCATGAATTGCCCGGTTCACCGCTTCCCAGGGGAGTAAAAGAGTCGCCGATCGATTGCGTTGCGTTGGATTAATTTCGCCGATTTCTCGAAATACCGCGGTGAAACGGGTCGATAATGTCCGAGGAACTCGCGGAAAGCAGAGCGGAACTTTGACCCGGTTCGACGACGTTCGGCCGAATGAATGGGATTTACCTTCAGCTGCCTTCAGCTGCCTTCAGCTGCCTTCAGCTGCCTTCAGCCCTTCAGCTGCCTTCAGCTGCCTTCAGCTGCCTTCAGCTGCCTTCAGCCCTCGAGAATGGCCGAGAAGAGCGATGCCAACTGCGACGCGACGCCGGGCTCGAAGCTTGAAGACGGAAGCGGCAATTTTACCGGGAGCTTCAAGGCCTTCTCCAAGTTCGGGGATCCAAAGAGCGACGGTAAACTGATCACCCTTAGCCAAAGCGACAAGTGGATGAAGCAGGCCAAGGTGATCGACGGCAAGAAGATCACGACGACCGACACGGGGATCTACTTCAAGAAGCACAAGTACGTGTCTCAAAATTAAAATGAAAGGGTTGGTAAAAAACAAAAGAAGAAAAGAGTCAAACCAATGGTTTTACCTACGGTAGGTCGACGAAGCTCGGAATCGACCAGTACAAGGCCTTCCTGGAGGAACTTGCCAAGAACAAGAAGGTGGACCCTGCGGAGATGAAAACCAAGATGGCGGAGTGTGGACCGCCCGGGTTCTCCGGTGGCGCGGGCGGAGTATGACCTTTAATTCCCTGTAATCAATTCCTATGGGTATTTTCCCGAGATGGAACGTATGGTGTAGGGTAACGACGTTCCCTCGATATCTTTAGTATCTGGGAAAGAGGGACGTGAGAGATGACGAGGGGGATTTTATGCATTTTGTCGCAGGCTGGCAAGGCTGCCTCGACCGTGGACCGACTGACGGACGTCAGCAAGTACACCGGGTCGCACAAGCAGCGCTTCGACGAGACCGGGAAGGGCAAGGGGATCTCTGGAAGAAAGGATTTGCCCGACCAGTCCGGATACGTGCAGGGATACCAGAACAAGGACTCCTACAAGGCCCACTAGCCCTCGACGAGTCTCGGTTTTCGTAATCGGCTCCGAATGTTTCCTCCTACACCTTGTCCCGGGTCTTGGTGTTTTCGCGGCCAACTGCAAAGGCCGCGGGAACGAATATATCGCGCAATCGGGGACCCTCGTCTCGACGAGCCACTTTTCTACAAATCTGCCCGCGTACAGGAGCGATCTTTCGATATCCAGCCTGGTAGACGTACAACTTATTTATATCCGTCGTCTGCAAATAGAGAAGTCGTATTTAAACGAAGAGCGTTCGGAAATCTATATAGTCGGACAAACACTTACCGTGTTACCGCGGACTACGTTTTAAGGGAAGGATGTATTTGATCGCCGGAAAAAAGGGGCACGAGTCCTCTCGGTGGAAGTACTCTTTATCTCCTGTCAAATTTTATACAGGATTGATCTTTTAATTAACACGCTCGACCTACTAATGCCGACGTCCTTCGTCGAATCTGGAAAACGTGTGGACTCCGGGAACGGAGAGCCGAGGTTCAGGGACTGTTTGTGATATTTTTGCGCCTGACCCTGGAAAGATACAAATGTATAAAGTTATAGATGGGGTATCGAGCCCCCTCGTCAGGTGGGTTCGCACGAGGTGGACCTGGAAATTACAATTCATATAAGCGATTCGGCTGAACGGGGGTGCGAAGACGAGACAAACGAGCTCTTCTGAATAAAACGTTCGTTTAATTGACGCCATTTCGACGGGACGGGTCAATAACATTGCATATTTCTTCGATTACATTTGGGCGATCCACCGATCGCAGCAATTTCTAGGCGTACATTCGCCATTCCGCTTGGGAACGCGTCGAAGACGAAGTCGGCGACCAGCGGGTGCCGAGCGGGTGCCGAGCGGGTGCCGAGCGGGTACAGAGAGGAAAAAAAAACGATACCCAAGTAATCGACGTTTCGATCGATCGGACAACAATCGGTACTACCTGGCAAGATAAATGCACTGCAATCGTCTCAATGCCGACGCCGAGCGAGTCGCGCGCCGCTGATTTCGTAACGAAAGAAAATACTGAAATGAAGCGTTAAATAATTTTAACGTTAACACTAGAAAAAAGTGCGGCGCAGTAAATCCAAAAATACGTAAAGTAGTATACAAATGCGTGTACGTGGGCGTGCGTACTTATAGACAGCTACATACATATATGTATAATATATATATATATATATATATATATATATATATATATATATATATATTAAACTCTGCGTTCGATTTGAAATCGAATTCGAATTCGTATAAAGCCTACGATATCGCGTAATAAAGCTCGTTGAGCGAGATTGCACCGTGCGAGTTCTCTGCGCTCGTTACACCTCCTACATCCCGAAATATTTTTTTTCTCCACCTACCGAGATGCGAATCGAGAAAACTATCGGAAATAAAATAGAAAAGAAAATGAACCGCGACGCTCCATCGGTGCGCCCTTTTCTACGTAAGTAAGTAAAGGAGAAAAATGATGCGTTCCCGGGTAAAACTTGGGACTCCGAATGGCGCCCGCGTCGCGAAAGGGCGAATTTAATTGCACGGTGAGAGGGGGTCGTGTCTTTCGTGATTTCTACGCGTACCTTACGTAGGGTCGATCGATTACGCTCAGCAAATCAGTCGACCCTTCGTGCAGATCCTCGGAATCGTGCACGGGGTTACAGTTCGGTAAGAGTGTCAACGGAAGCGCGCAATCGCGTCCTCGAGGAGGAGTCGCAGGTGCCTTTGCTGGTCCCCAGGGCGGTGCCTTCCAATCTGGACACGATTTCTTCCCGAAGGGAAGTCAAGACCCTGCGATCCTGCCTATTGTTAGGAGGCGCGATCCGCATCGCTTCCTGGACATCGGCGAGGGCGTCCTCGAAGAGTCCAACGTCGACCCTAGCCTTGGCTCTGGCATAAAATGCTTCGTACGAGGCAGGTCGGGCCTTGAGCGCTTCGTCGGCGAGTTCGATGGCTTCTTCGCACTCCTGAAATGAATTCCACCGTTAACATCAACATTCCCCGCGGTTATAACCGGTTAAGCGGTTGCAACAGCTTCCGGCTGAAATTCGGATCAATCATCGGCGAAGTGTCCGGTAGGGACTGGATTAACCAGTCCAATTGGAGAACGAGCAAAACGGCGAAACTGGAGGTGCGCGTAGAAAGTCACGCAAGGAAACGTTTACACGGGGGGAGGGAAGGAAAAAAGAAATTGCGTTGACATTTCCCGTCCATCTTGTAAATCCGTGTACTCACGTTCATCTTGCGCTTGCAGCGACTCAAGTTAAGTAAGAAGTTCAGTCGGAGCTGCGCGAACGTGGGCACGTAGAGGACGGGGTAGCTCTGCTCCTGGCTCTGCTGGTCCTGGCCGAGGTCCGTGAGATTTGGGAATTTCCTCAGGGCGTACGCGTACCGATGCGAGGCCTCCTTCAGCCGGCTCTTCCGATATAGGATGTTCCCGTCCTCGAGGAGTTTATTCAGGAGGATGAGGAGGACGTCCGGTTTGCCAGCAGCCATGGCCCAGGTGGCGGGACCCAGCTTCGCCCCTCGGCGCAGGAAACACTGCACCACGGGCACGTTCCGACACCCGATCGCCCGGTCCAGGGGACGCATCCCGTGGAGATCAACGTGCTCGACAGCTGCTCCCTTCTCGAGCAACAGTTGTACCAGCTTTGGATTGCCCTGTCGGGACGAGTGCCAAATTGACAAAGTGACCGTCTACCTCCTATCCACCTATCCTCCTATCCGCGCGCAACGGCCGGGGAGATCGCTTACTTGGAACGCAGCCAAATCCAAGGGGGTTCTGCCGGTATTGTCGCTGGTGCTGACGTCCGCCCCGTGTTCCAGGAGGTTCTGCACTGCCGCTAGCCTGCCTCTGACGCAAGCCCAGCCCAGAGCGGTGAGGCCCTCCTTGTCGGTGGCCTCCAAAATGGACTCCTTATCGAGGAGGAGCTCGATCAGACTCGTGTGGCCTTCGGCTGCAGCGAACATGAGGGCGGTGCGCTTAGCGGGGTCGCGTTGCTCCACGAGGCTGGAGGACTCGTCCAATGCTGTCTCCGAGCTGCTGCTCAGCGACCCTACGAAAGACGTTCGGTCATCGGTAGGTCGATAAAAGATAATCCGGAGACGTCCGTTCTTCCTCCGACGAATGGGTTTGATTTCGAAGAAATCTAGCACAACGCGCACACCTTGCAGGAGTCTCTCGGCCGTTCCCCAGTGGCCCTCTCGGGCCGCCAGCATGAGAGGAGACAATCCCTTTGCATTGACCGCCGCGGCGCTGGCCCCTCTCGCGAGGAGGGCGGATACCGTCGCGGTGGAGCCGTTCGCAGCCGCGACCGTCAGGGCGGTCTCGCCGATGAGCGAGTCCGGCTGGTCCACCGTCACCTCGGCCATGTCCAGCAGGTACTCGACGATGGACTCGTGGCCCTGAGAGGCGGCAGCAACGACGGCCTGTTGAGCCGCCTCTTCTCTGCCTACGGCATCGGAGGAACTCCCTTCGCCGTCGCCTTTATGTCCGGGCCAGTCGCACGCCAAGAGGTACCCCACCACGGACAGTCGGCCGTGTCTCGCGGCGTGCACCAGGGGACACTGTCCCGCCATGTCGGCGTGTCCTAAAGACGCCCCAGCGGCGGCCAGCCTTGAAGAGATGTCAAGCGAGGATTAACTTTGGCGAGGGGCGAAGGAGACGCATCGAAAGGGCGGAGGGAGATCTCGTTTTTTACCTCCGGACTACGTCGCAGTGTCCACGTGCAGCCGCTAAAGATAGAGCGGTGCAGCCTTGACTGTTGGTCAGCTCGACGTCGGCGCCGAATTCTAGCAGCAGAGAGACCATCTCGACGGAGCCCTCGTGGGCGTACATGCAGAGGACCGGGGCCTGGCCCAAATACTCGGTGATGTGGTCCGGGGATGCTCCTGCCAGCAGCAGCAACCTCGAGACCTTCACGTTGGGGCTGTAGATGTTCCTCAGGGTGCACAGGGCCGACGAGATGCATTTCGCGGAGTAGTTTAACCATACGGCCTGGAAACGAGTGGCGTGGCGTGGCGTGACGCGGTCGCTCCTGGTTCCACCAGACCTTGATCGTCTCTACGTACCTGTAAGTCGCGCGAAGGCCAGCACGGCGCGACTCCCCTGTAAACGTGGGCCTTCAGCACGTGGTGGCCCAATTCGAGGACCTTGTCGCCGTCCAACGGAGCCTGCAATCGCGACAATCGAAACGCTATCGCCGCGTGGCCGAGCCTCAGGTCGCAGAGGAACTTGGTCGACTCGCCCTCGTCCCTTCGCATCAACCATTCCCTGAACGACGGATGGAAGAACATGTAGGTGTTGTCCAGTCGTTTCACGAGAAAACCAGAGAGCATCTGCGGAGAACGGGGTTAAAAATTGAAAATACCGGCCCGATAACGACGGTCTACAGTCTAGCATGCATAGCTGGTTAGTCCGACGTACCCTGGAGGTCGCTGCACATGTGAGCGCAATAAATAAGCATCAGGTGTTAGTAGCGTTAGATGAAATTGATATCGATATGGCATGGAGGATTCGCGTGGGTAGACCGACCTTGAATCTCTGCAAGAAGTCCTCCCAGGAAACGAAGTTATCCGTGTAGAGGGAATTGACGGAGTAGTAGATCTCCGGCAGGGTGAGCGGGTAGAGCGCCGCCAGGCAGACCCCTAGGAGGGGCTGCACCTTGTCGAAGGACGCCGCCGTGGGGAATCTCAGATTGAAGTGCAGCAGGAAGATCTGGGCGAGCGAGACCGGCAGGACCTGGAAGAAGGGCGGTGAGATTCGGCCTCGTTCAAGAGTCGCTCCTTCGTCGCCTCACCTTGTAGCTGGCGGATTTAGCAACGAGATGTCCACTCTCGATGAGATCGAGCGTCAGCTTCGCGAAGAGAAAGCTGCCACGGGCGAGAGCGAGAAGGTGGGACGCGAACCTTGTCTGATTCGCGCTGCACGAGGACTCGGTCTTGCCGTTCACCGAGGCGGTCACGTTCGTCTGAATCGCCGGGCTCTGAACGAGCCTGTAGCCGATGTAATCCGCCATGTCCTTGGCTACGCGATTGCCGACCGTGTCGTTGGCGTTCCTGTCGAGGGATATCCTGGTGTAGGGGAACTGCTTGGCGCACTCCTGCAGCTGGGTCCGGACGGTGCAGACGATCTTCAGCCAGCTCGGGAAGTTGGACGCGTGTCGAGCCAGGAACGAAGCTATCGTGTCGCCCCGGTCGGGTCGATGGTACTCGGCCTCGCAGACGGCATCGATCAGGACGATCTGAGAAAGCGAGCGGAGAGAGACCGGGGGAGTCACGACGAACCGACCGCACCGTAGAAACGGAAGAGACTAGAGGACGGCGCTAATCACCATGTTGGCATCGGGCAGCCTGCCGGCCTTCCTCAGGGTGCAGAGGGGCTCGATGATCCCCCTGGAGAGCGCGAGGTCCGGGTCGACGGTGCACTCCCTCTGCGACAGGGAACCCTGAAGATGTTGCTCGGACAGCAGGTACTCCCGGTAGGAGGTGAGCTGCGGCGCCTGGCAGAGCTGCGCCGCCAAGGAATGGATCAGGTCGGGGACCAGGCAGGTGCTGTTGTTGTCGGCCTGGCAGAAGTGGTACGCGACGACGCGAGAGGCCAGCTCGCGGACCTGGAAACCGGAAGGCGAATTCAACGGTCGGCCCCGTCGCCCGCGCCTCTTCGAGGAGACCCCGCGAGGGGTCTCTCCTCCCTACCTTCTCGTTGGTGACGCGAACGCTGGCGCGCAGACCGGCCGGCTTGTCCCTCTCGTCCCCGAGGTCGCAGGCTTCCATCCTGATCGGCTGCTCCCTTCTCCTGCCGAAACAACTGTGCTCCACCAGCTGCAGGACCAAGGCGGTCTTACCGGTGCCGGGGGATCCGGACACGAGCGCGCCCGGACTCGAGCCATTTATCGCGTTCTCGAGCTCGTGCAGCAGCCACTGCCGGCCCGTGAAGAGGGGGTCGGTCTCGGGCAGAGGAACCTCGAAGAATAACGGCTTGAGCGTCAACTGGACCGCGTGGTGTTGGACGAAGCGCACTGCAAACGGGAATCGATTAGAGATCTCGCGACCAGGGCGTGCCATATCTCTGCCATATCTCTACGACCCGTCAACGTAACGTTACATTTGGAGTCGATCGGCCCTCCTTTCGGGTTGCCAGCTCTGGCGGACTTGCGGGCGCAGGACCTCCTGTTCTTGAACTGTCCCAGCTCGTCGATCTGCCCGGGCTGCGAGGCCGCGGCGGAATGCCTCCTGGGCGCGAGCGGACTCGAGCTGCCGTTCGACAGACCGGAGACGGAGACCGACATCGACATGGACATGGACGTGGAGGCGGACACGGAGGTGGAGATGGAGGCCAGGCTCCCGGCGCTGTCGCACTCCCTGGACTTGCCCTTCCCCTTGGTCTTCCCCTTCGGCTTGGGAGGTCCTCGCAGAGCCGCGGCGGCGGCTTCCGCCTCGCTCGACGTCCCCGTCAGGGTGGACACGGGGCTGGTGTTGGTCGAGGCGTGGGTCTGGGTCTCGAAGCTCGTCAGGCTGCTGAACGACGCGGCCGAGCTCTCGTGGTGGCATTGCGCCTCCTGGGGCCGCGCCTGCGTCCTGGGGCAGAAGCCGACCCCCGCTACTCCTCTGCCGGGGATCCCGGCCAGGTCGACGTTGTCCGCTCCGCCAGGTCCGCCGCGGGAATGCCCCGCTCCCAGCAGCAGCCCCAGCCGCATGTACAGGTCCGACTGCGACGACTTCCTCGTCTTCGCGGACAACGGCTTGACGCTCCCGCCTTCGTCATCTGGGGGGACCAACAAAGCGGATTCAATTAGCCGGAGGAGCCTCCTCTCGACGTTCCCCCTGCGAACCTCGGCAATCGCGCCCCCAGGCTACGTTCTCCAATTTACCGCGGGACCTGGGACCTGGGACCGCGACGCGGGCCCGAGGGGAGCCACGATGCACATCGACAACCCGGCCGAAGCTGCGGCCGCTGATTAATGCCAACACACCGACGGGTTACGCATGCCTACGGTGCATGCTACCCCTGGAAAGGGGTTTGGGATGCAGGACTCTCAAAACTGGGACGCGGTCCTCGATGCATCGGCAGGTTCTGGACCTACTCGGGCCTAGGTTCAAACTCCGTTCACACTCCGTTCACACTCCGTTCACACTCTGTTCACGCTGTTTTCTAGAAAATGCCCCCTGCCTGTGACTTTCGGCTCGATCAGCTGGTTCAATCCTCCACTCGTCGTCCCCTGGCTGGTGCTCCACAGGGACTTGATTTTCCCCAGCACGAGGCCGGGCCATCGGGTCGTGCCCTCCCAGGACGTCGTCATCCATACTGTGCGTTTCATTTTCCGTTTATCCTCCTCGCCTATACAAGACGCGCCTGAATCTAGCTCTACTGACACGAGATAAGTACCCTCTAGAGAAGACAATTTCCATTAACCGGAGAGATATTTCGATCGTTCAAGGAATGACTCAAACTGGAATCAATTCTACGCGACATTTCCTCGGGCTTATGACAATTCATCCGACCTCGTTCGAGGCAAAGTACTCCTTCAATGAAATTATCTCTTCGACCTTTGTCGGTGGAATCATCCATTTCTTTTTCTCGACGATTTTCCCCTCCCGAGGCCCTTCCCCGCTTCTCCTCGGATCGCTGTTGACAAATAGAGATCCTTACCCGATAACGCCGAGGGGTTGTCGTTTCCTTGGTCTCCGGAAGCTGCGCTCCTCCTGGCCGCCCTCTGGGGGGCGAAGGGACTCCGGAGGACCTTGGGGCTCAGGAAGAACCTCTTCCTCTGGTTGGGCGGAGTCGGGCAACCTGGAGAAATCGGGGAGAATCGTATTTTGCCCGCATTGACGTTGCTTCTCCGAAATTCGGGGACTCACTCTGCGCCATGAACTGGGACTTGTGTCTGGGCTGCGACGGGTCCTGCGGGGTCAAGGGCGGCTTCGACTTCAGGCCCTTCCCGGCCGCTCCCGTGGGCCCGTTCTCGTCTCTCTGTCGGGGAATCGTCCAAGGTTAAACGCGCCGGGTGGACCGAGTCAGCCTAAATAATAATTCCTCCTCTCGAACGAGGTCGATCATGACGCGAATCCAGTTGACCGGTCCAATTGTCCGCGACCGCGGAACGAGGGCGCGGAACGATCGCCGGGAATCCTCGTCAATGGTTACGCGTAATGGGATCGACTTCGTTCCCGGGGGTAATTCGTAGAATCCCCTCGATCCCAGGACGGGGAAAATCGCGTAACGCAAAGTGCCCCGAATCATTTTTGCTCGGACGGATTTATCTCGATTATCCATAATTCATCATGATTTTCACGATTTACCGGTTCGAGGATTTAATTCAAAGTGCAGCGCGGATTGCAGGTAAATCGGTGCAACCATCGGGTGGATTCGGAGCTCCTGCGGCACGAGGTCGAGATAACCCGTTCTCGTGACAATGCGCCACTGTTTGCCCGACAAAGGGTCCCGCTATCGCGATGGTTACCCACCTCGCGATCTAAAAAGAAAAAAAAAAGAAAAATAATCCCGGCTAATTTAGCCGAGCTCTATCGCAGTCGATTAGAAACCGAGCCTGAAAAAAATTGCCCGATAAGGCGCCGATGATTTCCGCTGTCGCGACTACATCGACGTCCTGGATGTATACAAGAAAAATACCATTATTAATTCTGCTGCTAAAAAGAAAAGAGAGAAAGCCAGAGAGAATACCATTATAAATTCTACTGCCAAATGGAGAAAGAAATGATGGAAAAAAAATATATGAGACCTCGTTTAGTCATTACCGTACCGCCGTGAGCGATTATTACCCGCGTGAGTCACACGGCGCGAAATCGATTACTTCTGCGCCCACCGCCGCCTTTTAGGGGGCCCGCGGTATTTAAAAAGGCATTGCGCAAATCGGGAAAAGTAAAAAGGCACCGAATAGCCCCGGTAGACACCTACAACGTCCCGGACTCGCTCCAAATAACGATCGGCCTCGTCGGAAGCCGGCCCACGTGTCCTGGCGCGGCCAAGGGGACGTGTCCCGATCCTCTCGAAGGATTCGATCCGCGCGGTTTCTCGCGTAAATTCGCGATAAATTTGCGACTCGTCGGAACTAGTCGAGACGAGGACTCGCTCGTTGCCGTCATTTCCGCGGAGGACCGGCCATTATTCTCCTGCCGTTGGCCGCGAGCCGAGAAAGTCTCTTAGTAGCCGCGTGGGTGAGGATCTCCGAATCGCGGATTTCTTCCTCGGAGATATCCCGTGGGAGTGTGGGAGAGCGCGAGAGAGAGAGAGAGAGAGAGAGAGAGAGAGAGAGAGAGAGAGAGAGAATCGGCCGACGTGCGTCATCCTTTCCCACCTCGAGATCCTATCTGGTGCGATGCCCCCCTGGAAGGACCTCATCTCCACGTGGGATCTCGAGGGATGCCGGCCCCCCTTTTGCCTTCCTTGCGTCCTTCCATCTCGTGGCGGGAATTAAGAGGCCGCCCGAAACGGAAGATGGAAAAAAGAGATACGCGGATGAGCCGCGACGTCGAGGGTCCAAGTGGGTCTTAATCACCGAGAGATCGCTTATTTTGAAATTCCAGGTGATTTGTACGTATCGGATTCAACCTCTCCACTGATTTTCTCCAGCTCGCGCGTCAAGCGATCCTGAATATAGAGAGGGAGGAGTCGAAGAGACTTACGTGCACTCGACCTGGGAGGATCCCCCTGGTGGAGATCTTGGATCTGGGCCTGGGGCTGCCACAGAGAGAGTTGACGGTCGAGGCGTCGTCGGGCCAGTCGTCGGTGCCGGCCAGGATGGACACGGGCCCGGAACGCGGGCCCTCCCCGAGAGGGCCCCCGAGGAGGTCGTCCCGCTCCTCGTCTCCCAGGAAGTCATCCCCAATCCTGGGAACCGCCTCCAGGCACAGGGGACAGGCCTCGCTGCGGAAGAGGCAGGAATAGCACCTCTCGTGGCCGCAGGAGTCTATCAGGCGCCTCTTCTTCCCCTTGTCGAAGGGCATCTCACAGGAGGGGCAGGTCGCCCCGCCGAACATCCCCGAGGACTCGACCAGGGCCCGGATCTGGGCCAGGTCTGCAAACGAAAAGACGTCGTGAAGCTATAAATCTTGAAAAAGAAAATTCCAACAGTAGGGAAAATGAAAAACGTGACGCGGCATCCACAGGAACCACCGGAAACGGGATACGGAGATCCTGGGACGCTCGATTTTCCCAGGGTGGCGAAAGGTCAATTCCTCCGGGCAGTCGAGTCGAGTTTCTCCGTTCTCGGCGGATGAGGCTTCGATTGCCACACCGGAGAGGTGCGAGAACGTCGCTCGGGACCCTGGAGGTCTCTCCAGGGATCGATCGCTGCGCCTCTCCTCGAGTCCCGATCGATCCTAGAAAGCGAGGTCAGGATTCCCCTCGTGCACTCCGAGTGCGAGGAGTACCCGCCGATCGCACCAATTAAGCTCGCCTCGGGACTCGAGGAAAAGTCGACTGCACTCTCCGAGAGAGGCCGAGAGTGCATCCGGCTCGGTTTCTTCGGGTACGCTCGAGCGGCGAGTCGACTGTCTCCGTCGTACCCACGTGGACTCGCATCATCGCGCTCTCTTTCCGGCGGATATCGAGCCCGGGAAGAACGAATTGAAAGAAAGAAGAAAATGTAAAAACCGGAGCTCGACCTTCTTTCCGTCGATGTCCAATTTCTCGTCCGGAAAAGTTAGCCGCGCACGGCCGATGGACCGATCAGCTGATCAGCTGATCAGCTGATCGCTGCGCTCGTCCCATTCGCGGCCAGTCGCGCGAATAAAACTCGCCTCTCTACGCGAGCAGACGTTGCCGTTTTAACGAAAGCGCGATGTGTTCCATTATTCCAAAGAATGAATTAAAAGATTGAAAAAAGGAAACGAAGGACAGGCGGCGACAGGCGGGGCGTGGACGATAATGGCGTCCCCTTGCCAGGACGACGTAATGGAGTAATCCCCGTGCGTGACGACGAATCGAGGCCGAGGAGAGGAAACTTCGGACGGAAACTCACTCCGGAGATGGAGCGATCCCGACCCTGTCGAGAGGTTACCGGAGCCTCGAAGACGTTTAACGGCACGCAAGGTCCCTCCTGGAGGGTGCAATCACGATCCTCGGAAGATCGCTCGCAGTCGTCGAAATTGTCCGAAATAATCACGCGTGACGAGCCGTCGCCGTTACATCGACCCCGCCCTGATTCGAAAAAAAATCGACAGGGGATTTTACATTTTTAAGGCGCGCACTCCATTTTGCCACGATTTTATGGAACGCGTGCAACTTCGCGTATGGAGAAGTTTGCTTCTCATTTCACGTTTTTATGTATATCACCTTCTCTATGTAGAGTTCCCCTCTGGGGCTCAATAAAAATCGGTCTCTTTCTCCCTCTGTTAGGGCGATCCCTGGGGATGGGACTCGCGATACGTCCGCCGTTGAGGAAATCATCGACGTATCGCGATGGCCCGGCCGCGGAGAGGCCCGGAGAACCTGGAGAACCCGGAGAACCCGGACAACCCGGAGAACCCGAGGAACCCGAGAACCAGATCGCATCTTGCCGCACGGGAGAGGGACCGAGCCGGGCAGGTGCAACTCCGACTAGGCTGTCCCGAGCTGGGTCAACGCACTCCTCGGTCGACCTCGCTGGAAACGACGAGTCCGTCGAGATCGACTCCGCGAGCGACCCGGTTCTCCCAGCTCGAGAGCCTCCTCGCGCCGACCTGTCTCCATTTCTCGAATTTATCAATTTTTCCAATTTTTCAAATTTATCCGCTCGGTGTCAATTTTCTTCAGCCAGAGCCGATTCTCGTTCAAAGTGCTCAGGGATGCACTCTCGAAATCGCAACCGATTACAGGCATCGATAGCGACGCCCGTTGCGAACGCGGGAACATCTGCCGCGTTTCCGTTTCCGTTCCCGTTCCGTCGACGAGGAAGGAATCGTTGGGACCCAAATCTTGCGAGTCGTTGCGATTCGAGGTGCACCCCTCGACGCACCTGTCGGTATCCGCGGTGCCCCGAGGGGCGTTATTAATATGAGGGCCCATTAAGGCGAAACTTGGATCGATTATCGCTAGGAGCCACCGGAGGCGTCGATCGGCCGATCGGGGCCGCCTGCAGGAGCGAAACGCAGGACGCACCTGTCTCTCGCTTCCGTCCCCGCCGTCCCCGCCGTCCCCGCCGTCCCCGCCGTCCCCGCTCCCCTCGCCTCGTAAATCGAAGGTGTCTCGACGTCTGACCCGAATCCGCGATTCGAGATGATGTGGAGTCCATTTTCCCGGCGCGTGTCCAGTCTGAAAATGTGTGGTGAATTTCTTAAGGAAAAAAAAAAAAAAAAAATGCAAAAGAGAGGGAGAGAAAAGAGGAATTCGTGATTAACGGGGGAGCATTTCGTGGCGCAATCGAGCGAGCGAGTCGGCCTCGTCTTTGGCGGTTCGAAGGAGAAGAGGCGAGGAGGAGAGAGGTCGCGCTATCGGGCGGCCGAGGATGATCGGCAAATAAATGGTCGAAAATCTCGCGGCCCCTTTAAACCGTGCCCGTCTTCCCGAGTAACTTTCGAGACGTCCGTGGAAAATAACGAGAGGCTCCCCGGCGGGGACCGCGGCCATTTCGGTACCGGCGAGTCACGCGTAATAATCGTTATTTGGGGCTCCGGTAGCGAGAGAAAGTGCCCTACACCGTCGGCTCTCGCGTGTACGTCCGTTAAGCTAGCAGGACCACTTTGATTGGGCCCACCCAATCAAATAAAGTATACTCGAAAACTTGAGTGTTCTCTTTTCTTGTCAATTTATCCCCCGATGAAGAACTTTGCACCTCGAAAAGACCAAAATGACGATCGACCGAGATCATCGAGGGAACCAACGAGACCATCCGAACCAAAAGGATTCCATGCACCCACCAAAGAGCCCGCCGACATGACAAAACGACCTCTCGATAAGTCGGTGGTCCCTTATCGGGCCAGGGACTCTCGTCCGCGAACCGTTTCACGGTTTCCCACTTTCCCGGGCATCGGGGTTGGAAAGATGGTCTCCCGGTGAGAAAGGGCGCCTCCTCGGGCGTGACGTGGCGATCGTTAACGCGAGGAAGGGAGTCTCTCTCCCACGAGCGGCCCCGGCCCGTAACGAGAACGTACAAAGCTCCGGAACGTGGCCCTCGACTCTCCCGGGAAATCATTAGGCCTTGACAGGGATCGGTCGTCGTCGTCGTCACTTCTGGAATCATCGGAATAACTGAAATAAACCGACTATTCGAACTAATTGAAATGGTGAAGAAACTCGGTACACAGTTTCGAGCCAAATATATTTTTGAGCGAGATACTCGTTAGAAATAATCGCGACAACGACCCGTTCGCCGAGATGCATCCTACCGAAAGGGCGTGCCGGAGCACGTCCTGGCGATTCCGCGGAAGAGACGCGTCGTCTCGGCCGCGCCATTGTGTCGGGAAAGAGGTTCGAAAGCGCCGTCGGGACGATTTGGTAATCGGGATGACTGGTAGCTCAATTACCAGGCAATTGCGACATTGCGAAACGAGCGGAGCGCACCTGCGCGCTCGAGAGAAAGAGCAGACATTACTCGCGCGCGTCAAGGTGAGCGCACGAGCCCCTGGAGCGTGTGTACACGCGAGTGCACTCGCCGAGAGATGCATTACGATACCGGTCACGGCGTATCAAGGTACCGACGCCTCGGAGCGCACTTGCAGGGCCCGAAAATCGCGAACCCTCGACTTTCGGGCACGACGTCGAAATCTCCGATAAGAAACCCATTGGGCGAGCCGCGATTGCGTTTCAACATTTTTCTTATATTCTTCCTTTTAAAGGGGGTCATCGATCCAACGCGATCAAAATTCCCACTTGCGAATCGAGGATTCGATAAAATGACGTCCCAAAGAATTCCTTGCAAAATATCCGAGGCCATCCGTATCAAAGGAATCCCCTGACGTTACTTTCCAAAGTTCACCCCTTAAGGATGATTTCACGGTGGCCAGGGTTGGAGAGGACCGGGAGGTTCGAAAAGGGCTTCCAAAGTACGGAGCCGCGAAAATATCCCGGAAGAGGGAAAAATCTTAACCGTGACCGCTGAAAATGTGGCTCACGAACGAGAGTACGGACGGCGACTGCCATCGGCGTCCTCCGTTCCGAGAAACCTGTCCGGAGGTTTAATGGTCGCTCCTCGAGAACGAATAAGGTTCGTTAGCTCCGCCGATAAGTGGAGAGTCTCCCGACGGCGCGATCGGGCTTCCCCGGCCTACCCCGGCCTACCCCGGCCTACCCCGGCCTACCCCGGCCTACCCCGGTCCCCTTCGATTCCGCGTCCGTCGCCGCGCATCCGCTGCGCATCCGCTGCGCTTCCCGGCGCTTCCCGGCGCTTACCGTTAACACCGGGTGAGAGGTCGCGACACCGAGGGGCCCTATGCGCTTACGTGCACTCGAGTACCGAGGACTGCACGTCGCGTCGCAAACTTTCGATTTAACCGGCGAGGCCTTCCTCCTCCGAGCGGATTTACAGGAGTAATAAAAACCTACCGAAATATTTCATGGGGGCGGGGGGAGATAATATCGAATCGCTCTAAAAGTATCGAGGTCGAAAATATATAACTTGGAACACCTACTCGATGACGCGAGCGTTTACTGACGAGGTCTCGTCGGAACATCGGAATTCCTGAGTGCCGTTGCGGATCATCGATTTACCGGATCGAATTATCTCGGCCGCGTCTTGGCACGCGGATGAGGAAGCTGAGGAAAATTTTTCGATCGGTGCCTCAACGAGGTGCGAAGAAATTGTTTATACGCGCATCGACCCTCGCCGATTCCATATAAACTGTTTCCGTCGTTACGACCGTTCCGTGCCGCGATTCCGCGCGATCGTCCGTCCGGAGAGCGTGCATCGCGATTCTAGGACGCGCGGAGGACTCGTTAGCGCCTACCATTTGCACCGAGAGGCTGCACCTCCGTACGCGAAAGTACATAGAAACTAAAAGTGGCAATGACGAGAGACCCGCGCGACTTCCGTCCGACGTGACACCTCGCGAGACGTTGCGGAATCAGAGCCGAAGGTGTAGCGAGAAAGGACGGCTGGAAGGAAATTTCGGAGAGCCTCCTAAAATCACTGGACCGTAAAAACAGCGTATAAAAGGAGCATTAACGAATTTTTTTCTTTTAATTTTGATTCATATTTTAGGGAGAAATATTATCTTTAGGCGTTCGGAGAGCGCCTCGAGTTTCTCGTCGACGGTTTCTTGACATTCGCGGTTAACACGCGCGATCCGTTTTCACCGTCGACGCCGGAAAAAGTGGAGACCTCGACGAGGTCCTTGCACCGCGTTGCAGACAATGCATGCAGCGCGAACGAGAAACGGTCGAGACGTAGACCCCCGACTTCCGATTGGCACATAGACGGGACACTTAGGGTCGTTGTCTCTATAAACGCGATCGAGTATCCCGCCAAGAATAAGAAAAAGTGAGTCTAATCAGGGGATCGAAAGACGTGACATTTATACCACGTAAGTGAAATTCAGCGAAAAAAAAAAATGGTTTTTTCAATGCACTTTGACGAGTACATTCCGTCGGTTATTTCCACCCTTTCCTTCGGGGTCTGGGTCGCCCTTCCCTGAGACCCGTGATAAATAAGACCAGGTGCGGCGAAACCTCATCGGGTAATATCTCTCGTTAATACATCATTACCGCAATAATCCGGCGCTGATCGATGGCGGTTCGCGCAATTCGAGGCGCAGGCAAGGCCGCGACATTTTGTACGTTTTTCCCCGAAGGCTCCTTAATGGTTTATTATAAATACGGGGCGCGGAGCGAAAGAAAAAAAGGAATAACGGCCGACGCGACCGAGATTGCGGCAACTCGAGGTACATTCGAACTCGTTGCACGTAGTACGGGAACGGAGTATATGTAGGTAGAGGCCAAGAGCCGGCGGAGACTTCCTATTAGCTCATAAGTCGAGTTTCACGGGTCATTAGACGGTTAAAATCATGCACGGACAATTTCGCGCCACAAGGAGGGCCATCTTCCACGCCGAATCCTCGTCTCTAGGTTCCCGACGTGACGAAATCCCCAGGGAAAACCTGGACTTCCTGTTAGCTCGGACGTGGTTTCACGGGTCGTTGGGCAGTTAAGATCGCGCAAATTCTACTTAGACGGTGCAGACAGGAGGAGAAAAAAAGAAAGTCACCTATCCGAAGTTTTAATTGCCACTCCATAGTGCGCGGTAGCTTATGAATATTCCCATTAAGCGAAGGAAAAATCCTGCCCACCGGGGTGTAGGAAGTGCATGCGCGGTCGAATGCACCGAGAGGTGCACGGCCGCGAGGCAACGGTATCGCGGCGCGTCCAGCCGAGTAACACTCGGGATCTCTCTTTTTTTTCCCATTCATTCACAAGGAAATTATTTCACGGGGTGAATATCGCGCCACTGCGCATCAAACAAGGTAGGTAACGACGATTCGCGGTGGCCTTTAACGGGCCGCGAGCCAATCACCTCTTGTGCAGCCCTAAAACCGTGCGGTACGTGTCGGACCTCGGGACTTCCGATTGGCTCGTTCTCGCCGTCTATTTCAATTCGGGCACGCCAAATTTCCCGCAAGAACGTCGAATCTAATTCCGGGCCTGGCACCTCTCGATTTTCGCCGCATCGGTTCGACAAGTCGCCTCTACTTTGCATGGTCTAACGTAACGACGGTAATCCCAAGTCTCGCTTGCATCTTCTACCTATATCGGCGGCATCGAGCGCGCAATTGTAGGAATTCTTCCTTATACACCGGGAGTGTAGATATAAATTAACCATAAAGTCGATAGCGACATGGGTTTCCAATCTATTTCCGAACGTCATTTGGATCGCTCGAGTGAACTTTGTTTCTTTTTTCGTTTTTCTACGCGACATCGGAGTTGCAAATTGCAAGTTAGATGCCTCGACCATTCTTCCGGGGAGACGGTCGCGCGGATCCGATGCCGGCGGAATTTCTCCCCGCGATCAGCTGATCGCGATTCCGAGCGCGGCCGGTACACGCGCTCGCTCCCGCCATTTTCCCTCGGGATCGCCAATTGTTCCCCGGATCTCTGGACCCTTGCAGGTGAGATTCCACCTCGGTCTCACGATTCCGCGTTGCCGGCGCCTCGATAAATCGAGCGCACCGGTGAAATCGTCACGACACCCGAGCCGCTGAAATCCCGTCGAGATGCACTTCGCGCCGCCTTTTATTTCGCGCTATCCCGCGATACGCGAATTCCACTCGAGACCGTTCGGTCGCGGTAAAAATAACGTCCAAGCCGACACCGCGCATTTCGAAGGTAGCTGACACTTTGTTTTTTAAGCGTCCCTATTTTTATTTATTTTCCCTGCTGCCTATCACCACGTGCAGGGGAACGAAATTCCTCGTCAACTATATATTTTTTTTCGTTAACGTTGCGCGCATTCCTTGCCGTCTGGATAGCGCAGCCCACTCAAGAGAGTCCAATAAATGATAAATAAATGAAAAAGAAAAAAAAATTCTAAACGAATAACGAAGAATAAAGACCCGCTCATCGACTACCGGCAATCCATTCGGCGGGACCTCGGCGGGGCGTTCGGAAAAATCCCGCGTGCGGAGAGAACACGGCCAGGACGAAAGACGCGGTCACGCTTCGAAAGCACGCAGCGGTCGTGACGCACAATTAGGTGCAACAGGTGTCCGCTCGCTCGGCTCGCGATTTTCAAACAAAACCTCGAGATCTCGCCCACGACTATCTCGATCGACTTTCGCGGCCGTTCAAAGGGAAGCGGGTGAAAACGTGGAAAGATGCCCCTTGGCGCCTCGACTTTTTATCGGACGAGCCCTGGATTTCTTCCCTCCCCGCATCCCGAGGAAGGAAGCAAAATCTCTCTAACGAGATAAAGGAGGGGGAAAAAGAAATGGATAGACAATACCGAACCACCGTCGCGGTCGTTCGTTTCTTCCGCGCAATTTGTACAATTTATTCGAGGTTACGGCCGCGAGTAATCCCGCCTCGCTCTTTTTGCGAGGCCGGTCCCCGATATCGCAGTCAGTGGCGCTTTCACGAAAATCACCGATACCGCGCGTGTGTCCGCCTCGTGAGTCAGAGCCCGGCGTTACACATTTCAAAGTGAAATCGGACCTCTTAAATGGGGGGGGGGAGGTATTGAAAAAAAATTTAAAAAAAAGGTACAACCGCACCGCAAATTCAGCGCTCCGCCCGGTGAGTATCTAGAGCGAGTGCATCGAAAATTTCTAACGCAACGGTAATCGTCGAAAGGGATTCTCGGCTTCGATTCGTAATTCGAGACCCCGTCCATTCGCTCGCCAGACGTCCGACCGCGTCGATGCACCCCCCTCGCTTTTTTTCTCGCTCCGGGAGAAGCGCGTGCTCAGGAATTCCTGAGATGCTGCGCACTCGTCCGGCCCTCTTTTCTCGGGAAGGGCCGATCGAGCAGAAGGAAGTCAGTGTTCGATATACTCCGACATGCCCCTTTGACGGATACAAATGGCATTTCTCTTGATAATAACGAAGACCGGTCGCATCGGCGTTTAAAGATAATAAGATAATAAGAAAACGTTAACCAGATTCGGCTACTCGTGTAGACTCTGGCCCTTTAATTCGAGCGCGTTGTACCGTGATATTTCGGCCGGGGCAATCGGAGATTACGGTATTCCAACACCTTCCCTCCTGACACGGGTTCCGATTAAGCGGAGCTTAAATTCAAACTATCTTAATGGTATCGACCCTTGATAATTTATGGCCGCCGTCTCCTTTCTAACACCGGCACGGAGGAGAGAGAGAGAGAGCCCTTGGCCGTACCGTTCCATTCACAAGTCAGGACCCGTTTTTCCTAATTATGTAACCTAATGGCGTTTTCCAGGGGGCCGATTACCCGCACCGGTTGCACCGCTCGAGGGCCTCGATATGGAATCGAAATCGTGCATCGATTCCCCGATAGAGAAATCATAACGGTTACAATGTCCTCCAGGGAGGGTGCAAAACAAAAGAGATATTTCTCCGGCACACCGTGTAGCAAATATACGTCGTAACGGTGTCGTTCGATAGCGTGGGTCCATTCATGGGAGTTGGAGAGACCACAGGACGTATCCCGGTTCGCGGCGTCAAAATCTCCTCGGAGAAGAGCCCCCCCCCCTTGTAGGACCGGTCACTCACCGAGAACCGAGAGGCTGAGTCCGGAGCCGGGACGAGACGGCCTGTGTCTGTCCGGAGGCGCCATGGTGTTCTTCTTGGTGTCGGGTCGCACTCACACCATCCTCCGCAGGGCTGCCTGGGCGGCCCTCGAGGCGCGTTCACATGGACGCGGGGTTCGAGTCCCGGATACCACGCGGGCACTGCGTCACCATCCTCCCGGGCGAAGACGCGCGGCGTTGCCCGAGTCGAGAGGGTCGGGAGGGTCGGAAGGAAAAAATCGCGCTCTGGCCGATACCGCTTCCACCAACGGACCGGAGTACACTGAACGGGTTCGAACGCGCACCGCCGCGGCTCGGCAACCGAGGCGCGCGATTGGTCCGCCGGGGACCTGCGCGCGCAGCCGGTCGGCCGCGACCGCCGTGCCGGTCCAGTCGGTCGGCGCGCCTGCGCACGGCCGGTTGTCCCTCTCTGTCTCTCCCCTGTACCGGCGGACGGACGTTGCACTCGCGCTCGAGACCACTCGAGACGGGGGACCGGGATAATGCGCGGTTATACGAGCGCGCGCATTCGTGCGCATTCGTGCGCACGCACGGCCTCGCTCGGGTCTCGCCTCGCCTTCTCTTATCGGGCCGCGAGACGCCGAGCGATCGCCCGTGAAAGAAATCTTCGGCTCGAGGTAAGGAAACCTCGCCTCTCGAGATGTCCGCGACGTTCCCGCGGAGAGAGATCCCTCGCGCATTTCCTGCGGTTAAGAAATACCCTGCGTGCTTTCCGAGGTGTCGCGGGATGGCGCGATGCATTCTACGTGGCGGATCCAAAATTTCGCCTCCGCTGCGCGCGCGGTAGACCGTTGAGATTTGAATGGGTCACGTGACCGCCGAGGACCAATGGGAGCGCTCCGTGGGACGTCGCGGAAAATCCGATAATGCCGGCCGCGACGTGCGGAGGCGTTTTTTCTGGCGCGGCCACTCGAATCGGATACGCCGGCGTCTGCCGGATGCGTCGGGATTCACCGATGGAGATAAGTTGGTCAAACCGATCGGTGACTAGGTCAGTTGCAAAAAACGCCTCAGGTATACATACGGGATGACGGGATCTCGCTGCACGGTTCGCTTGAACCAGATGGTTGCCGTTAGCTAAGTCTTAAAATAGAGCCCGCGGATGGGATTAACCTGGTCGCGTCAATTTGCGACTTCGATGCATCTAAGCTTTACGATAAATCCATTGTCCGGTCGTGGTCCTTGATTCTCTCCGATTACTCGGAATTTGGATATTTTTTTCTATCAACGGTCACATTTTACCCACTTCGGTTTTCTAGCGAACGAGTCGCCGCCGACCGGGCGCGGGAAAAAATGGAATTCTACCGCAAGGCTGGCGCCAGGAGGAATCCAATTCCTGCGTGGATTAATGCCGTACACATGTAAGTGCATCGTTCATTAGATTAGCTGGTAACGGAAGCCTCGGCGGGTACAGATAGCACTGCTCGGCACCGGCGATAAACATGTAAATTGAACGTGAAACCTGCGATGGAAAAGACGCGATCGTAACATCGAACCGAGGAACGTAAATATCGAGCACGGAATTCACGGTAAGTATACCGCACTCTGGTCGTAACGCCGGGTAGATACGATTGCAAAATGAAAGCTTCGTTTCAAACTAACATTTTTAATTAGCGTTCTAAACTAACGTTCGAACGAAAAATCTAGGGTGATCGAGAGTCCGTCCGGCGATGCAGTGGTCACGGCGTCTCCGACGCCGAGAGAAAAGAGCCAAAGAAGACCATGGAATCCTAGAGGAACCGTCCGCCTGGGAGTCCACCGCCGGCCACCTCTCCTAGAACCTCCGGTCCAGATATCGCTCGTAGGCGAGGAAACGTCCGCGCGAAGCAAGAAAGGACGTCCCTACGTAAGCGCATAACGCAAGCAACGGGGATCATGGCGGCGCTCCGAGACAACGGTAAAGGGCCTCGAGCGAGACGTAGGCGCATCCGAATCGCGGATGCGCCGGCTAGTGGGCAGACGCCGGAGTGTTTTATTCGATTGTAAATCGAGGATAACGTACGCGCCCGCCGAGACGCCTTCGAGGTTGGAGCTGGTTCGAGCTTTGAGGTTATGTCGAGGGGCTCGTAACCGCGCGCGCCCCACTCCGAGTCGCGTCAGGTGGACGTAAATGGAAACGACGCATGCGCGAGTCTGCGAAAACGGCGAAAACCACCGGACGAGGCGTAACGAGGCGTAACGAGGCGTTTCGAGAGATGCCCGGTCCACGAGGATGCACGAGGATGCACGAGGAGTCGTCCCGCTAGCGCTCTCTCGCTCGCTCCGCGCGCCGCCCTTCCAAGTTCCACGGGCTTGACCGATCCCGAGGAGACGCGAACAGGTTAAAGTCGTTGTATATATCGCGCCGGCCACCGTCTAACCTTACCTACCGACCTACCTAACCGTCTACCTTATGTTCCTCGGTTCGCTGCCCAGCGCGCCCCACCAGGGATGACCGTGGATGGGTTTACGGCCATGTGCGCGTCCGGGAATTATTTTCGCTTTAGAAACTCCAGGGCAGTCCTTAACGCGAGATTAACATTGGAAGCCCTTCCAGGGACGATGGAGGACGGAAAGGACGGCCGATGGCGGTCCTATCGAGGTTTTCACCTGTCACCGCCACGTGTACCCGGCCAGACGGAGATGATCGACGGCAGGTTTACGACCCATGGCGTCTGGCGATTATTCTCGCCTTACGGGTTTTCTGGCCAATGTGGAAAGCTCTCTTCCACTCTACGAGGAGGTCTCTGCGCGCAGAGACCTCCTTGTGTCTGCATCGTCTGCACGGTACAACGACCCGGACTCATCCTCTAAGGTTTGAGGCTAAGCATCGATTACGTTTGGATTTACCCGGATAAACCAATCAACTGATTCTCTCTCCAGATTGGATAATTCCCTGGGACGGCTTTAAACGTCACTTCGTGAAGCTGGATCTACGCTGGACGAGCGTGAAGTGTTTGCTCGAGTCAGGGGCCCTTTAACCGAGGATAGCGCACGTTGTCAACGTCTGGTAAGTTAAGGCACCCCCGATGGGCGGGAAACAGCTGATCGTTTAAAGGACTCGACGAGCGAGGTGTCGGGAACACCTCGAAGAGCGTCGAGGGATCGATCGACGGGCGACCCCGCGACATCCAGGTAGCTGTCCGGTCCGGGAAAAAGGAAGAGAAAAAGGAAAAGCACGGAAAGTAGGAAGGGACGTGTCGCGGCCGGGTTCGCGCTCGCTGGAGCGTTCCGCGCCTTCCTACGTGGCCCTAACTCGCGGCGGATGCTGGTGGGCGGACCGGGATCTCCGGGCCCGGGGAGGCGCGAGGGAACGCGGCCGGGCCCACGCTGAAACGAGCACCGGGTAATTAAACGAGCACCTCGTCGTTAAAAACGACAGGAGCACGCATTCTCCGGCGTTTTCGTGCCGGAGAGCGCGCGCACCGGACTCGCGAGACGCCCAGGATGCGAAAAGGGTGTACAACCGGCCCAGGAGTAGCTTCCCCTCGGCCTCTCGAAACCACTTAATCGTCCCCCGACGATCTCGAGGACCGAACGCGTCCTCTAGCCCCTCGAATTCTCCAGTCCGACCCAATCTTGACCGTTCAAATTAGACCCAAGCTCGTCGTCGGCATCCCTCGTACACCTAGATGTAAGACGCGGTAGATTATAAGGACCACCGATTCGCCGGCGAATTTCGAGCCATCCTCTCTTTGGCTCCGAACTCGCCAGACGAGGTTTCGGCTCCCGGGACGAATTAACCGCGAGCGGGTCCCCGGGGATCGGCGGGAGCGTCCGGTCCTGGTGGAGGGCGAACGAGGCGCTTACACTTATACACGTGGAGCGACAAAAAGAGATGCCGATACCTCGGGGGTGCTCCTCCGGGTTACTCACGGGTACCGGGACAGGTATGTACTTGGCCTCGGGGAGCGCTCGCTTTTTTGCGGGCAGAAAACTCGTTTAAGGGCAGCCAGGTTCCGCTCGAACCTCCGCGTCAAAATATTGACCCTCTCGTCGAGAAACGAGACCCGGATCCGGCTCCTGCGCAATTCGCGACGCGCGTACCGATCTCGCTCGCAGTCGGTTCCAAATAGGCGGGCATTAGACGCAATTGGATGCGTGGGCATCGCGCTAAGCGGCGAATCGCTAGCGGACGTCCCGAGCGGGGTCGCTCGCCCACGCCGTGAATCCGCCGCGGGAGCTCGGTTATTAATCCGAGTCTTCTTCTAGGTCTTCCGTGGCCGGAGCCTCGGACGGAGGGCCCGATCGAGGGACTGGCTCAGCGTGGAGGAATTCTGGAGCAGGGCCAGGTAGAGGCCCCGAGGGAACGCCGCCTTCTCGGCCGGTGAATCTTGAGAATCTTCGACATCTTCGGCATCTCAAATCCAGATACCAGACTGCAGCTCGGACCTTCCCTCGTTGGTATGACGAGAAGACACGTTTGCTTGAGAAAATCTCGCCTGGATATCGAATCCGAAGGGTGAGATAAGTCCCGAGAAATCCTCGCGTGCGAGTCCGGTCTCTCCGGGCCTCGAAGTCGGTTCGATGGCTCGTTTCGCCTCGTTTTAAGGCCGGTGATGGGCGCCGGCACGCGAATTTTACGCCCCGTCAGGACGGCCGAATAAGACCCGGGAGCCCGTGTACACGCGAGTGCCGGCGTGTTCGCAGGAGGCGAGTTTATGTCGTGCGGTCTCGATGCCGGTGACGTTTCGAGGCGAGTATGCGTGTTCGGGGCCGAGATGATGCGGTACCCCCGATTCTTTTTTCTCGCCGAGTGCGACGCTATCCGCTCGTTACGGACGGTGACGCGATGCTGCGGGAATATTTGAAGGGACCATCAAAAGCGCCCGACGGGGATAAAAGGCGATAAAGGGGGAGCGGAGACACGAAACGCGAGACCGCTTCGCTAGGTCGCCTGCCATTAGCGCGCTAATCGTCAATTATCGTCGCAGGGGTTCCCACGGGCAGCCGGGCGGGACAATGCGGTGAAGTCCAGCGGGAGCTCGTGCCGATTGCGAGTGCGGGGCCCGGGCAAACGCTTCCCGCGGCGGCATTGTCATGCAAACGACGTAGCACGGGAGAAGCGAGGTTTACACAATGTCTAATTACCTGCAATCCACCTGAGGGTCGTCCCCGACCCTGCGCCCGGAGGGGCCGTCGGGGAGAAAATAGAATTTCAAAGTCCCTTACGCTTGCCTCTGCATATGCATGACTTACGAATGAGATTCCGCACGAGCGTGCAGTCTCTCGTGTCCGAGACCGTACGTCGCGTTCGCAGGTATCCTGGTACGTTTACGAGCGAGATCACGCGTGTGCGTGCCGTCTCGGCCCCGTCTCGATGGGCCCCATACGTGCTCGCGTCATATAGACCCATGGTAAACGGCCAGACGGACG